TGGCTTTAGTACACATTTTTATACCCTCAGTTATCGATCGATGACACTGACTACTGTAGGATCTGCCAAGATGAAGAAGAAATCGAGACAGTCGAACACTTGCTCTGCCACTGCCCAGCACTCATTAATATGAGACACAGGCTAGGAGAACTAATGTCACATGACCTGTCTTCTTTTTCTAACACTGACCCTATAGTAATCCTTCAATTAGCCAGAAGCTTCAAGTGGCTAAAGACGACAAGGCAAACTCCTCAGCCGTAGATCACTTTCTACAACTTTATCTTTTATCTTCACCTCTTCTTCCAATCACTTTTTCCTCTTTTCTTAACATTCTTTTAGGATGAACACAATGGACCTATAGGTCTCCGAGTGTAGCGTTTGCCATATGGTAACCGCACGTCCTTTAACCTAACCTAACCCTCAGTCATAAGCTAGAGAGGGTATATATCATCTGATACGGCCAAAATGTGTCTAGTCAGTCGAAAGAACGGTTTTTAGACACTAGGTCCCTTTAAATCAAATCCGTTTCAGGACATTGGAGCACGATAACTCTCGAAGGGAGTATTCGATTTAATCCAAACTTGGCACATCGTAATATTATTATCAATCTTAGATCGAGTTCGGAGATAGGTAATATCAGTCCACTACTTCTGGCACCTCTCCCAAAAAATGTCGAAATTTTCAAAGAAAATAATTTACTGCACATAAAGAGAAAGAATAATCCGATTTTGCTCCAACTTTGCAAATCCTAATATTTGCATCAGTGCTAGTTCAGGTGCGAAAATGGACAATATCGGTCCACTTCATCAAGTACCTTCCACACAAAGGGTCAAATTTTTGAATAATTATAACTCTTATAAAATTTGATATAAAAGCCCGATTGTCTTAAAATTACACGCGTCACAATACTTTTATTAACCCAATGTCTGAAGTGAAGATGGAACATATATGGGTCCACTCCTTCTGGTACCTCCCCCACAAAGGTTTAAAATTTTGAATTTTCATAAAGCTCAAAAGACGCGAAATTAACATCCGATTCGATTCAAACTTGGCACATCTCAATATTTTCGTCATCACAAGATCTGTTTTTAAGATGGTAGAGATCGGTCCATTTCTTCTAGTACCTCCCCCACAAAGGGGCAGAATTTTTAATAACCAAATCGATTATAAAATCCGAAATAAGTATCCGGTTCTCTTCAAATTACATACATCACAATATTTTCATTAACCCAAGGTCTGGTGAGAAGATGGAATATATCGGTCAACTCCATCAAGTACGTCCCCCACAAAGGGTCTTGAAATTTTGAATATCCATGAAGCTCATAAAACACGAAATTAACATACGATTCCATTTAGACTTGGCACATCTCAATATTTCTGTCAACACAAGATCTGTTACAAAGATGATAGAAATCTGACCATTTCTTTTGATACCTCCCCCACAAAACGTTCAAAGAAAGCAAAATAAACATCCAACTCTCTTCAAATTTCACACATCCAAATATTTTGCTAACGCAAGATTTCATGCTGCACCTAATGACTTATATCAGCCCAAATGAACTGAATTTTAGCAATTCCGACTGAATTCATCCAAGAAATAAGTACTTTAAATTTGGTGGAAATCGGTTCAGATATAGCTATAGTTCCCATCTATATTTTAAGTCCCTCACATGCGTAATATGTACTCCTCAAGAATGATATTTGGTATCAAATAGCTTATGGAGCTCAAAAATACCTGTGACAAATTTTATCGCGAACGGATCAGATTAGGATGTAGCTCCCATATATATCTTTATCCGATATCAGGTTTATTGTTCACCAAATGGCTGATATCAGTCCAAATGCACTGAATTTTGGCAATTCCAACTGAATCCATCCTAGAAACAAATATCTAAAGTTTGGTGGAAATCGGTATTTGATACCGGGCAACAGATGCTGCTCGAAAATACCTCTGCCAAATTTTATCAAGATCGGTTCAGATTTTCATATAGCTACGCTTTCCTTACCGGTTTTTTACTTGTTTTCTCTGTTTTTTGTTGTTGTTGTTTTTTTTCAAATTCTTTGCCACCGAAAAATGTGTGGACTCGTATTTAGCCTTCTTATTGCGGGTTATTATCGAATTGTTATAATACATATGTGAGAATTGCGCATTTTATTGAAATTATAATAATTATTCATACATACACATCTACATATATGTATAAATATACATATGTATAATAATATATCTCTGGACGACATGCACCGGATCATGCAACCAACACCTATTTCGAAATTTCTTTTTATTAATATTTTTTTTTTTTTTTCATATTAAAATTGATTGCTGTTTTCTGTTGTTATTATTTTATTTATCAGCGTCATTATGTGGTGTGAGGTTTGTTTGTGTTCCAGTGGTTTTTTTTTTAATAAATAAATATTTATCAGCAGCATTGTTTTGTTAAAAATATATATTTTCGAAAAATGTAAACACATTTAAATATGTCTGTGCGTATACCCCTAGAACCCACGTGCAGCTACAGAGCTTGGGGAAGTCACTAGGGGAGCAATGGGGAAAGGGTAGGGAAAGAATTTTGAGTTCATTGTTTAAAAAAATCGATCTTTAAATATCTGCAATTAATTGTAAGGTGGCTCTTCCTAAAAATATTCTTAAAATAATTGTTGAAATGCTTCCAAATTTGGTCCTTGGAAAAAAAATCCTTAGAGCTGCGTTTAGTCTTTGAAAAAATAGTCTTTGAAAATCGAGGTTTATAGGTCAGTTAGTTCTTGAAAAAAATCTTTTGAAAAAATTTTTCTTAAAAAAATTATATTAGCGGTCTGAGGACCCTTGGAAAAATACTTTTTTAAAGTCCTTGATTAATAGCCTGTAGATTCTTGAAACAGAATTCTTTAAAAATCCATGATTTTTGATCTGCAGGGTCTGAGGACCATTGGAAAAATACTCTTTTAAAGTCTCTGATTATTAGCTTGTAGATTCTTGAAAACAGAATTCTTTAAAAATCCATGATTTTTTATCTGCAGGGCCCTAAAAAAAATACTCGAACATTATTTGGTATGTGGCTTCTTGAAAAATATGCTCTTTACAGGGTGAGATAAAAAAACTGCAACAAAATCAAACGCCATAATTTTTACACTTTTTTTAAATTTCATTGAATGAAGGAAATGTCATCAAATTTTAAAATAAGTTTAGATTTGTTTGAATTGGCCACCTTTGGTACGAATTATGGCCTTCAAACGGCCAATGAAACCATCACACTCTGTCCGAATGTTGCTCTGCGGTATTTTGGCCTATACCCGGCGAAGCGCTTGCTTGAGGTGATCGACACTTTGGTATTTTTTAGTGCAAAGCTTGCTTTCTAAAATACTCCAGACACAATAGTCCAACGGATAAGTATCTGGAGATTTTTTCAGCAAAATGGTTTTGTACGCTTGTAAACTATATAATGAGCTGTCACTGGAATAATTTTAACAGCTGTCGGACGAGTGACTTAGAAATGACAGCAGTCTGAAGTTGGTTACAATTTTTTCATCTCACCATGTATACCCTCAGCCATATAGCTACAGAGGGTATATATTGTTTGATACGACCAAAACGTGCCTCATCGATATAACGATTTTGGACCCTAGGTCTCTTCTTGGAACAAATCCGTTTCAGGACATTTGGAGACGATCTAGCGATGTCTGTCAGTCCATCCGTCCTTCTGTCTGACTGGCTGGTGTACACGATAACTCTCGAAGGGAGTATCCGATTTGATTCAAACTTGGTACATCGTAATATTATTGTCAAACTTACATCGATTTCGGAGATGGACAATATCGGTCCACTTCTTCTGGCACCTCCCCCACAAAATGTCAACATTTTCAAAGAAAATAATTTACTGCACAAGAAGAGAAAGCATTATCCGATTTTGCTCCAACTTTGCATATCCTAATATTTACATTAGTTCTAGGTCAGGTGCGAAAATGGACAATATCGGTCCACTCCATCAAGTACCTCCCCCACATACGTTCAATATTTTGAGTAGTTACAACTGTTTTAAAATGTGATGTAAGTATCCGATTGTCTTCAAATTGTACACATCACAATATTTTTATTAATCCAAGGTCTGGTGTGAAGATGGAATATATCTGATACCTCCCACACAAAGCGTTAAAATTTTGAAAAAGTAAAACGATCATAAAATCCGAAATAAACATCCGGTTCTCTTCAAATTACACACATCGCAATATTTTTATTAACCCAAGGTGTGGTGTGAATATGGAATATATTGGTCCACTCATTCTGGTACCTCCCCCACAAAGGGTCAAAGTTTTGAATATTTTTGGATCTCATAAAACACGAAATTAACATCCGATTCCACTCAGACTTGGCACATCTCAATACTTCCATCAACACAAGATCTATTATAAAGATGGTAGATATCGGGCCACTCCTTCGGGTACCTTCCCCACAAAAGGTCAAAATTTTGAATAATCAAAAAGTGAATAATATCGGAAATAAGCATTTGGTTCTCTTTATATTTCACGTATCCCATTATTTCTACTAACACAAGATCTGTTGTGAAGATAAGATATATAAGTCTACTCCTACTGGTACCTCCCCCACAAAGGATCAAATTTTTGAATATCTATGAAGCTCATAAAACACGAAATTGACATCCGATTCCATTCAGAATTGGCACAGCTCAATATTTCCATCAACACAAGATCTGTTATAAAGATGGTAGAGATCGGACGATTCCATCTGGTACCTCCTCCACGACTTGGATCTTGAAAATTATTCTTTTGAAATCCATGATTTTTGGCCTGTCGGCTCTTCATAAAATATTTATAAAAAATCCAGGTTTATAATCCTCTTGGTCCTTTAATTTTATTTTTTAAATCCCCGAATATTCGGTCTTTTCCTATTTGAAATAAATATTTTGAATTTTTGGCTTAATTCTTTTTATTTTGACGTCATTTTAATTCCTTGTTTTTTCTCTTCTCTCCATTTTTTTTACCAGGTATTCCAATGGATTAACGAACTAGCCCATCCTGAGACCCGCGAAGCTGCTCTGCTGGAATTGAGCAAAAAACGCGAAACCGTCACAGATCTAGCACCGATGCTATGGCATAGTTTCGGTACAATAGCTGCCCTCCTGCAAGAAATCATCAATATCTATCCCTCAATAAATCCTGCCACATTAACTGCTCATCAATCGAATCGAGTGTGCAATGCATTGGCCCTGCTGCAGTGTGTTGCCTCACATCCCGACACGCGTACCGTATTTTTGCAAGCACAAATTCCCCTGTTCCTATATCCGTTTTTGCAGACCACCTCAAAGACACGGCCTTTTGAATATTTGCGTTTAACAAGTTTGGGTGTTATTGGTGCGCTTGTTAAGGTGAGTTGTTTAACTTTCTATTTTCGGAATAGATCTGTTCATAAATTAAATGGTTTCTTTTTCCTTTTTTTCCTAGACTGATGAACAAGAAGTGATAACTTTTCTTTTAACTTCGGAAATCATTCCCTTATGCCTACGCATCATGGAATTTGGCTCAGAGCTAAGTAAAACTGTTGCCACATTTATTTTACAGAAAATTTTATTGGATGAAAGTGGTCTGTCGTATGTCTGTCAGACATATGAACGATTTTCACATGTAGCTATTATTTTGGTAAGTACTTAAAGAGGCCTTTTTCTTGGTAAAGTATTTTAAAATCGAACAAGGTTGCCATGATGAAGAGATGTCCTTAAAGACATGTAGACATCGGGAAAACATTCCGGAGTCAAAATCCGTTTTAAACAATTCTAAATAACCCCAATGCCCAGGTCCAAATTACGTCTTTTAATCTCAAAATAAAGAGAGGTATTCTGGAGTCAGAATCCGTTTTAAACAATTCTATATGACCCCAAAGCCCTGGTCCAAATTACGCGTTTGAATCTCAATATAAAGGGAGGTTTTTTTTAATCTCGTTGACTGCCATATTGTAGATCCGTTGACTTCTTCACAACCTTGTTCGATTTGTATTTTTAGTCACATAATTCACATATACTATTAATATATCCATAAGGACTCCATTATATGTATTTGCGCACAATCAACTAGTCTTACACCAATGGCTGTCCATTTTCGTAACTTCTTGGAAAAGGTTTTTGTAAACAACATACTCTTCTTTCATCCTTTTCCATTTCTATAGTTCTCTAGAAATTTGCAATGTATGCGTTTTTCTATTAATAATTTTCATTGCTTTTTGTTTCTTCTTTCCTCAGGGTAAAATGGTGATACAATTAGCTAAGGAGCCATCAGCACGTTTGCTGAAACATGTTGTACGTTGTTATTTAAGATTATCCGACAATCCAAGGTAAGATGATGATGATTACAAGAAATATATTTATGTATGGGAATGTGAAAAGGATTTATTTTAAAGGATGGTGGGTTTAAGGATGCGTAGCTACACGAGGAAGACCTTTGGTCCATTTTGTTCATTCTAGGAAAAGAAAGTTGTTGGTAAAAGGAGAGATATAGAAAAAGAGAAGAAAGGGTTTAACTAGAGAGAGAGAGAAGGGCGGCCTGCTTAGACAGGAAAAACTTCTTTTCAGCCTTGTAGATGATGATGGGATCTATGTTTGAAAAGAAAGTTAGAGTTTCTATCTCCCACCTGGCAAATAGCCCATGTCTCTTGTTGGATAACATGGGGCATCTACATAGTATGTGTTCAATCTCTCTCTCTCTCCCTCTCTCTTTCTCTTCTTCATTTTCTAGTCTAGAGTAGCCGGGGTCGCTGTTATCCCATTTTGAGGTCACATATCTGATATTGCAGGGGCCAGTCAGTGTTCATATCGAGAATCTTAGATCAAACCTACTAAGTGATAGAAGAGAACTTGTTCTTTTTCTCGAGATTATCGGCCAGTAGTGGAATTCTCTAACTCATTTTTTGAGTTACCGACAAAAGTCGGTAAAACCAAATTGCTAATTAACGAAATTTGTCGGTAAGTTAGCGATGAAATCAATGTAGTCGCCAAGACCTACCGATAGATACCAATGCTGCCAGCTTAAACTTCTTTTTTATACCATCAGCCATATGGCTAGAGAGGGTATATATCATTTGATACAGCCAAATCGTGCCTCATTGAAATAATGGTTTTAGACGTTAGGTTTTTTTTGGATCAAATCCGTTTCTTGACATTTAGAGTTGATCTAGCGATGTCCGTCCATCCGTCTGTCTGGCTGGCTGGTGCGCACGATAACTCTCGCAGGGAGTATCCGATTTGATCCAACCTTGGTATATCGTAATATTATTATCAAAGTTAGATCGGTCCACTCCTTCTGATACCTCCCCTACAAAAGGTCGAAATTCTCAAACAAATATTTTACTGCATAGAAAGAGAAAGGATAGTTCAATTTTGCTCCAACTTTGCAAATCCTTATATTTACATTAGCTCTAGACCAGGTGTGAAAATGGACAATATCGTATCACTACATCAAGTACCTCCCTCACAAAGTGTCAGAATTTTGAATAATTTAAACTCTTATAAAATGTGATGTAAGAGTCCGATTGTCTACAAATTATACACATCATAATATTTTTATTAACCCATGGTCTGGTGTGAAGATGGAGTACATCGGTCCACTCCTTCGGGTACCTCCCACACAAAATGTCAAAATTTTCAAAGAAAATGATTTGCTGCACAGAAATAGAAAGGATAGTCCAATTTTGCTCCAATTTTGCAAATCCTAATATTTACATTAGCTCTAGACCAGGTGTGAAAATGAACAATATCGTTTCACTCCATCAGGTACCTCCCCCACAAAGTGTCAGAATTTTGAATAATTATAACTCTTATAAAATGTGATGTAAGAGTCCGATTGTCTTCAAATTACACACATTACAATATTTTTATTAAGTGTAAGTGTGAAGATGGAATATATCGGTCCACTCCTTCTGGTACCTCCCCCACAAAGGGTCAAAGTTTTGAATGTCCATGAAGCTCATAAAATGCTAAATTAACATCCGATTCCATTCCGACTTGGTACATCTCAATATTTCCATCAACACAATATATGTCATATTTATGGTTGATATCGGATCATTCCTTCTGGTACCTCCCCCACAAAGGTTCAAATTTTTGAGTACTCATGAAGCTCATAAAACGCGAAAATAACGTGCGATTCCATTCCGATCAATATTTCTATCAACACAAGACATATTATAATGATGGTCTAGATTGGACCATTCCTTCTGGTACCTCCCCCACATAGGGTTCAAGATTTTGAAAAACAAAAATCCTCCCATTCATCTCCTCAAATATCCCACGTACAAACATTTTTGCTAACACAAGATCTGTTGTGAAGATGATATACATCTGCCAACCCCTTCTGGTACCTCACCCACAAAGGTCACAATTTTCAATACTTTTATCTGTCATAACTTCCGAAACAAATCGGCGATTCTATACAACTTGCTATATCTAAACACTTACCTTAGCCAGAAAACTGCTATGAATTTGTAATTAATCGGAATTTATGATTTCGCATAAAATTGGATATAAATGTTCGATTTCCTTTAAATTTTGCACGTACCAGTATTTTTTAGATATATTAGATGAAGTGGAATATTTCGGTCCGCTATATATGGTGCCATATTTTTCCCAAAAATTTGCACATGTCTCATATAAAGTATGGGAAGTAGATGATATAGTCCAAATATGGCATGTTGTAATATTTATCTCATATTTATTTAGGTCCGATACGAAATAGTCAATATTGGCCTATTCCTTCAGAACCTACTCCATAGAGGGTCAACAATTTGAAAAATCATAACAGAAGCCAAAATATATTGAAATATTCGAACATTGCTTGAGGGTATACATCTGTCGGCAAAACCGACTGATATTTTTACTTGTTCTATTCTAAGGAAATGTCAATTGTTGGTTTTTTATTTATTATTATTATTATTATTATTATTATTATTATTATTATTATTGTTTTTTTTTTTTTTTGCAGAGCACGAGAGGCTTTACGACAATGTCTTCCAGATCAATTACGTGATGCCACATTTTCCGTTTGTCTGCAGGACGATAAGTCAACCAAACACTGGTTGCAGTTGTTAATCAAAAATTTGGAATTGGGTGCTGTGCCACCAACAGATCCCCGTCAAATCGGTATGTCACCATTGACCTCATAAATTTAAGTTAAAAACAACAAAAACACAGCCCCCACTACCCCAAAGTACGAAGAGTAACAACAACAGCAACAAAACAGTAACTACACCACAATACAGACCAGACTTCTGAGATAAACAAATAACAGCAGAATAATGATTATGATGATGATTAACACAAAAGAATGCAGCTTTTTCTAAAAAACAATACTAAAAAAAAATAAAATCCACAAAACAGTCCAATGGCTTAAAGTCTGTCTGTTTTTTTATATAGAATATATTTTCGTTATTAAAAAATACAATTATATAGAAATGAGGATATTTTTTACTTAATACAAAATACTGAAAAGAATCATTAAAAAAAAAAAACAAAAACAAATAACATTTCGTATAAGGGATAAACAAACAATATTACTTAAAATTAGAAAACAGTACCACAAAAAAACAAAACAAATAAATGAAAATCATATTTATAAATAAAAAAAAACAGAAATGCCATCAAAGGCATATATATTATATAAATATTAATAATAATAAAAATAATGTAAAGTAAACGTGATAAATGTGAATATTATTACTAAAACAAACCAACAAACAAACAACTCTCTTATAAAACAAAATTATGGGAAATTAAATTAAATGTAAACTATGTATATGCATTAAACAAAAAAACACCTAAGTTAAACAACAACAAAAAATCTTATCTTAAATAATTACATTTTAAAAACTAACCAGAGGAGACTGTGACAAACAAAATATTATAATAATATGTTAAAAAAATACAAAAAAAATGCTAAACATTTCTAAATTAAATTAAAACAAACAAAAAAAAAAAAACCAAAACATGAAGTTTAAAAATTATATTTATAAAATAAAAAGAAAATAATACAATGATTAAGCAATGGTACCTTAAACATTTAATTAGTGAAACATCAAAAAACAACAACATACACACGCATACAACAACATTATATGAAAAGAAAATAATTTTTAAAAATTAAATATAAAAACTAGATTTTTTTTCTAAAAACCAAGGCAAGAACCTTCATTTGAATATATAGACTTTTATTAGCAAAATAAAATAATTAACAAAGTATTGCAAAAATTTAACAGAATTTAATAAAAAAAATAATTTTAATTTTTTTTTTCTATAAAAACTAAGTTAAATTATGAAATTTTTAAAGGAAAAAAAAAAAAAGATAAACATTTGTTTCCTATTATTAAATAAATTATGCTAGAAAATATTGTACTTTTTTAAATACAAACAAAAATTATTTAAATCTCAAAAAAACACACACACAGAGGAAAAAACCAAAAGTAAATCCAGAGATTTTTTTAGGAAAACCCATTTTGTAATCATTTGAAAAACTTTAAAAAACACAAAAATTAATTGAAAATCAACATTTTTAGCCATTGTTTGTTTCAATTCTTAATAATTTTTTTATTATTATTATTATTGTTAAATATAAATCATAAGGCGAAATGATGTATGGAACACTTGAAAGAGTCTTGAAATCTTTTTTTTAAGAAACAAAAACAAGCTTTATGATTTTTAATAATATTGAAGAACACAAAAAAATTGTAAAATATTTAAGAATTTGTAAAATTATAAGCATCCCCTCCGCCCCCAAAAAAATTGAAAAGAAACTAATATTACTTCCATAATTTGTTTTAAGCCGTTTTGAAAGAGAAAAAAAGAGAAAAGAAACTAATATTACTTCCATAATTTGTTTTAAGTTCCATAATTTGTTTTGATAGAGGACCATACCCCTCCGCCCCCAAAAAAGTTGAAAATAAACTAATATTACTTCAATAACTTATTTTAAGTCCTTTTAAAAGAGAAATTGTTTAGCACGAGATGGCTTAACGCAAAATGTTTATCACTTAAGTAAAATCTACATATTTTCAATTCTGTTATAGATTTAGCCTTGGGAGAAATGGGTTAAAGTACCCTATTCAGTTCTTGATTCAAGGGAATTTTTTTTTTTTTTTGTAAATCCTGAAAGGAATAAAAAAGGTCCCAACCTTTTGAAACGAAAGTTAAAACCACATACAGTTCCATTGAAAAATATTAGATTTTGTTTTCAAAATTTGTATTTTCCCACTTAAAAGGGGTTTTATACCCTAGGTCTCATTGGACCAAATCCGTTTCAGGACATTTGGAGTCGATCTAGCGATGTCCGTCCGTAAGTCCGTCTGTCTGTCTGGGTGGTGCGCATGATAACTCTCGGAGGGAGTATCCGATTTTGTCCAAATTTGGTACATCGTAATATTTTTATCAAACTTAAATCGAGCTCGGAGATGGGCAATATGGGTCCACTCCTTCTGGTACCTCCCTCACAAAAGTTCAAAATTTTCAAAAAATATATTTTCTGCGCAGAAAGAAAAACGATAATTCGATTTTGCTCAAACTTTGCCAATCCTAATATTTGCGTCAGCGCTAGTTCAGGTGCGAAAATGGACAATATCGGTCCACTCCATCAAGTAGCTCCCACACAAAGGGTCAAAATTTTGAATAATTTCAACTCTAAAAAAATGTGATGTAACAGTCCGATTGCCTTCAAATTTCACACATCCCAATATTTTTATTAACCCAAGGTCTTGTGTAAAGATGGAATACATCGGTCCCCTCCTTTTGGTACCTCTCCCACAAAAGGTCGAAATTTTCAATAAAATATATTTTTTGCGCAGAAAGAGAAAGGATAATCCGGTTTTGCTGCAACATTGCAAATCCTAATATTTGCATCAGTGTTAGGTCAAGTGTGAAAATGGACAATATCGGTCCACTTTATCAAGTACCTCCCCCACAAAGGGTCAAAATTTTGAATAATTAAAACTTATAAAATGTGATGTAAGAGTCCGGTTGTCTTTGAATTCCACACATCCCAATAATTTTATTAACCCAAGGTCTGGTGTGAAGATGGAATTTGTCGGTTCACACCTTCTGGTACCTCCCCCACAAAAGGTCGAAATTTTTCAAAAAATATATTTTTTGCAAAAAAAGAGAAAGGATAATCCGATTTTGCTCAAACTTTGCAAATCCTAATATTTGCGTCAGCGCTATCTCAGGTACGAAAATGGACAATATCGGTCCACTCCATCAAGTACCTCCCCCACAATGGGCCAAAATTTTGAATAATTACAACTCTTGTAAAATGTGATGTATGAGTCTGATTGTCTTCAAATTTCACACATCCAAATAATTTTATTAACCCAAGGTCTGGTGCGAAGATGGAATATACCGGTCCACTGCTTCTGGTACCTCCCCACAAAAATTCAAAATTTTTAACATATTCTAACTTGTTTTATTACAATTTAATTTTCTCTAATTGGAAACTTGGACCAAAAAATGAATAACAAGTCCCCTAAAACTCAATCATTTAAAAAAATACCACAGCAACAACAAACAACCATCGTGCATACCTAATAATTATAAATGAAAAGATCTCTTGTATTTTATAAATATTAATTTTAAAAACTCAAATTCTCAACAATCCCAATTTTGTTTAATTGTTGAAATGAAAGAAAAAAATCTTCATGCCAGCAATCAAAAAAATTGTAATTTCTTTAACGAAAAACAAACAACAAACGAATTGGCCTAAACAAAATGTAAATGTAAAATTTTGTATATTTTCAAAAATTCGAAATACTAATACTAAATGTATATTTCTTATAAGTCATGTATGTATATAGTGTACAAAACAAATATATAAAGAGAAAAGCTTTAAAAACGAAAACTTTATTAATGTAAAGAAAAGAAAAAAAAAACTAATTAAATACCAGCATGAATTCCATCATCAACACTTTGAATGAATAATTGCTGTGGTTCTTTTTTTTGCAAAGTATTTGCAAAGAGAATTTTGTAATTTTCTCCCAAAAATATTTGCAAAAAAAAAAAAAAAACAAATTATGGAAGTAATATTAGTTTTAGGCAAAACCCATACAGAAATAAAAAATCAATATTCTCCTCATAAACTAAATAAAACAACACGAAGGCCCAACCAAGCCCTACACACAACAAAAGGCCATGTCCCTCCCTAACACTCACCCCCATACTTATATATATATATAAAAACACCATTAAACCTAAAAACAATATTTATATATATTCAATCCCCCCCACCATGTAATTGTAAAATTTCGTTAATTTCTAGTTTGTTTTCCTATTTTCTTTTTAAGGTGAATTAGAAGCTTAAATTTTTTTGCATTGTAACATTGTTTTTTTTTATTCTTTTGCCCATAAATAATATTAATATGTTCATTACTTTTTAATTTTTTTTATATTAATTAACTTAACTTACACTTTAATCTATAGATTTTTTATAACATAATTTTTTACATACATAAACATATATATAAAAACAAAATAAAACAATCCAACAAAATGTGTTAATATTAGTCGCAAGATGAAAAGCAAATTTTATCTTTAGCATCTATCCTCCTGCCTCATGATCCTATTTGCATATATAAATATATATTTTAGTTCGTTTTTTCATTATTAATTAATTTTTAATTTATAATTTTGTTTATTAAATTAGTTTAAGTTCTCCAACATTTTTTTTAAATTAATATTAATAATATATATAAAACAAAAAACAAATACAATATTGAAGCAATTTTCTAAAAAAAACGTTTTTTGTGTTTTAATTTCTATTCTCATTGCTGCATGTATTAATTTTTTTCATTTAATTTTTCAATGATGTGTACGAATAATTTTTATATATTTTTGTTTTTGTCAGACCGGCTTATTTTTATATATATTCCCTAGCCTATGCCACACAACAAATTTGCTAACAATTTAACCAAGACAATGGTTAGTTCGATTAGTCAATATTAAACCAGTTAAAATGTATCAGTCGGTTTTGCCAATAGATGTGTACCTTCAGCCAATGTTCGATTATTTTAATATATTTTGATTTATGTCATGATTTTTAAAATTTTTGACCCTCTATGGAGTAGGTACCGAAGGAATGGGACAATATTGTCCATTTCGTATTGGACCTAAATAAATATAATATAAATACTGCGACGTGCCAGGTTTGGACTATATCGTCCACCTCCTCCACTTTATATGAGATATGCGATAGATAATTTTTAGAAAATGTTAAAATGTAAATGTATAAGGTATTAGATATAGTGGACCGAAAATGGAATACCATTTTCACACTTCATCTAATGTACATAAAATCATTGATATGGGCAAAATTACAAGTAAATCGAACACTTTGATCCAATTCTATAAGAAATGGTAAAATCCATATTCAGCTCAGTTTTCTAGTGGAGTGAAATATTTAGATATTGGAAGTTGTAAAGAATCGCTGAGTTGTTTCACAAGTTATGACAGATAAAAGTATTGAATTTTTGACCTTTTTTGGGTGAGGTGCCAGATGGGGTTCGCATATATAAATCATCTTCACAGCAGATCTTGTGTTAGCAACAATGTTTGTATGTGTGAGATGTGAAGAGAGTTAGATGCTTATTTCGTTCTCTTGTTTGTTGGGAGGTACCAGAAGAAGTGAACCGATACATGCCATCTTTACAGCAGACCTTGTGTTAGTAGAAATTATGGCATGTCTGAAATTTGAAGATAAACTAATGCTTATTTCAGAAATTATGATGGTTTTTGTTATTCAAAATTTTGACCCTTTGTGGTGGAGGTACCAGAAGGAATGGTCCGATCTCTACCATATTTATAACAGATTTTGTATTGATGAAAATATTGAGGTGTCCCAAGTTTAAACGGAATCGGATGTTAATTTCGCGTTTTATGAGCTCCTTAGATATTCAAAATTTCGACCCTTTGTGTGAGAGGTACCAGAAGGAGTGAACCGATAAATTCCATCTTCACAGCAGACCTTATGTTAGTAGAAATTATGGGTTGTGTGAAATATGAAGAGAACCAAATGCTTATTTCGGATTTTATAGTCGTTTTGGTTATTGAAAACTTTGTGGTGGAGGTACCAGAACGAATGGTCCGATATATACTATATTTATAACAGATCTTGAGTTGATGGAAATATTGAGATGTGCCAAGTCTGAATGGAATCGGATTTCGCGTTTTATGAGCTTCATAGATATTCACAATTTTGACCCTTTGTCGGGGAGGTGGATCGATATTGTCCTTTTCGCGCCTGACCTAGCATTGATGAAAAAACAAAAAAAAAATGCGAAGTTGGAGCAGATTGGATTATCCTTTCTCCTTCTATGCAGTAAAATATTTTATTTGAAAATTTCGACATTTTGTGGGGGAGATACCAGAAGGAGTGGACCGATATTGTCCATCTCTGAACTCGATCTAAGTAAGACAATAATATTACAATGTACCAAGTTTGGACCAAATCGGATACTCTCTTCGAGAGTTATCATGTGCACTAGCCAGACAGACGGACGAACATCGCTAAATCGAGACCTAGCAAATATTAGACTGATGCAAATATTAGGATTTGCAAAGTTGGAACAAAATCTGATTATCCTTTGTCTTTCTGTGCAGTAAATTGTTTTCTTTGAAAATGTTGTAATTTTGTGGGGGAGGTACCAAAAGGAGGGCACTGATATTGAACTTGATCTAAGTTTGATAGTAATATTATGATGTACAAAGTTTGGATCAAATCGAATACACCCTTCGAGAGTTATCGTGAGCACCAGCCAGACTAACGAACGGATCTCGCTAGAATCGTTATTTCAATGAGGAACGTTTTGGCCGTATCAAATGAGCCATATGGCTGAAAGTATAAAAAAGATGAAAGGCAGTTTATTTTTTTCGATTTTTGTCTTGTTAAGGTCAGCTCTTAGCGGACAAATTTCGTCTTGCAATCACTTGCAACTCTTCTTCTTCTCCTTCCGCTGTTTTATATTTGGGCAAGAAATTTTAAAATATCTTTATTTTGCAAATCACAAGCATAATTGTTTTTATTTATTTATTTTTTGGTTCATTTTTTATTTTTGCTTGCTTCATTGTGGACAAATTGTTTTCTTTTGACGAATCAAATGATTGCTTGCATGCTTTTGCAGGGATTCCGTTTGTTTACTTTTCACAGTTTTCTTGTAAAAGAGAATGAAACAACGTTACTCTCTCAGAGAGAAGATGCTTCGTAATTACTGCAGGAAAAGTAACCAGACAAAACTTTTACTTGTTTATTTCTAATTTAACCTTAAATATTGTAATTTAAATAAATTTTAATTGATTTTTTGCAAAAATGTTGATTTCTTTTAGGTGAATAAATCATTACTCCTTCCCCAATTCAAACAACAAAAAAATTTTGTTTAAATAAAGTCAACAACTAACCAAAAGTATACATTTCTAGGTATTATACTGTTACAACACAAATTCCAAACAAAGAATTAAAATTCAATGAAACAAAAAACAAAACGTATAACAATACCAAACTTTTACTAAAAACAAATAATGATAATGTTTTTAAAACAACAATTTTTTATTAAGAATTTATTCTGAAAACAAAAAAGAAAATAATAATAATAATAATTAAATGAAAAGCTCCTGCAATAATTTAACGAAATCAATTTAGAAATAAGGGAAAATACAAAACAAAGAACACAGAACAGACACACAAATGCGATCCATTAATTGTAATAACTATAAGAGGAAATTGTTTAAGAAAATAAATATTAAATAAAAAAAATTTAGTATTAGCCCAAAAACAATAACAAAACAAAAAAAAATACATTGTAACTATCAAACCGAACAACAAACAATTATTAATTATAATTAAAAAAATGAAAAAAAAAATATTTTCAAGTTCTGACCACGACTACAATGTTAATGATGCCGACGATGACGATGATACTCAATTTGAAAAAGAAAAAAAAAATACAAGATGAAAAATCTTAAAAAAAAAACTCTAAAAAAGGTAAAATGAAAAGAAAAATATTGGAAAAAAAATATATTACCATTATTATTATTATTAGAAATGTAATGCAAATACAAAAATATATGAATCAAAAATAATGTGTTTTGAATTTATTTTGGGAAAGGTCAAATATGGGTTTTGAAACCCTAGCTTTGCGTGAAAAAAGTTATTTTTAATCTGAAATCTTTATGAAATCTCATCTACATCAATGTAACCGACGATGGCTGGGGAAGGAGAGTGGAATCTGAAGACGACTTCATGCTGTAAACTGCAACAAAGTCAAACGCCATAATTTTTACATTTTTTTTTTTTAATTTTATTGAACGAAGGCAAAAAATGTCGGAAATAACATCAAATTTTAGAAAAAGTTAAGATTTGTTCGAATTGGTCACCTTTGGCACGAATTATGGCCTTCAAACGGCCAATGAAACCGTCACACGCTGCTCGAATATTGTTTTGCGGTATTTTGGCCCGGTACTACAAAGAAAGAATGTGGTTACGCTGAACAAGGGAAAGAATATTTCTAAGCTTCAGTTGATTCTCAGGGCAGGCAGACGACTCAGGCGCTGGATAGCTAAACATTAACCTCTTTCACTGGGCCATAAGATCTCTTCTCTCAGCTAATGAAATTAGAATCTTGTACCTATTTTTTCAATTTATGCAAATGGCTGTCCTGGTAGTTAAAGTGGTCAAATATATAAAAGACCTGAGAAAGTTGTTTACCAATAAAAAAAACCTGTAGAAGGCCTTCTATATACTAGGGAACTGTGGAAGGTCTTCTATCTATAGTAGTAGTTTTCCTTCCACAAAATATCTATAGAAGATTTTCCAACACAGGGTCTCCAATCTACTCAAAATCCATTGAATTCTTTTAATAGTAGAAGCTCATTTTTTTCCTTTAGGAGACCTCTAGAAGACTAATCTTCAATTTCCACCTTAGAAACGCATACCACAACAGAGTTACAATTGCTCACACATTTTCACATTGTTTAACAAAATTGTTTTATTTCATTTTTACAACACATGGATGTCGAAATCCTTGTGCATATTACTTCCAATAGAAATCACGAATCTTTTGTATCTCGATCTATCATTAAATGAGTTTTATTTATATTAATTGAAACTATTTTTGTTGGCATTTTTTTCAACACCAGGCTTTTTAATTGGTTTCAAATGTATAATGCTTGCGGCCATCACCAGGATATTGTTTCACTGCCACTGGGCGATACATTCTGTAGTTCTCCAACCAATAATACAAGACAAGGCAGCCAGCCATGCAACCCAAAAAGCCCAACCAGTAGGTGCTGTTGGCATAGCGGGGAGGGGCAGGTTGGGACCAGCGATCTTCACTGTACAAATCGGATTCAGCATGGAACTGGAAACACACAAGCATAATAAATTAATAAACAATATCTACATTATCTGCAATCATTACTTACAGTTTCATGCAAGTTACGCTTCAATTCTGGGAAATCATATGGATAGAAGGGGTCACGGGCCTCAATACCCAAGCCTCCCTTCAATTCGGGATAATCACCATAGCCCAAACCATTATCGGCATAGGGTTTGTATTCTTCGGGCAGCAAAAAGTATTTTTTGGCAGCAGCCTCACGTTCAGCGTCGCTTTGTGGGAACTTGCCAGCCTTGTAATCCTTGTTCCAACCGGCCACTGAAAAAACACAATAACAAAAACAATTAAAAACCCAAACGAAATCAAAAAACGGAATGTAGAGTTACGTAAACCATGAACTTTTTCGGTGGATTTTCTTTCCAAAAATCCAAAAGAAATCCCTGGTGTTAATTAACTTACTCGACCTGGCGGCTTGACGCAACACTGCTGGATTGTTGGCAGTCAATTTTTGCACAAATTTAAAGGTATTCATTAACGAAGCCATTGTGGCAGCCTTGGTTGGGATTCCTCGATTCACGCACCGAAAATAATTGGAACTTACGAGTAATGTCAGAATTTTGACATTTCTAGTATTTGTTTTGATTTTGATATCCGCTAAATGCCAAATAAATTGTTAGCTTATGTTTATGTTGGCGCGGCTATCAGTTCGTAGTGAATGTGACTTTAGACATGTTTGGGTATTTTCCAGTAACGCCGTGTTTACATTAACGCTCCATATTACGGTGAAGTCCTGTATCACGACTAAATTAACGTAAAATGTATAAAAATGTGTTATTACCATGGTAGAAGAATAAAGGTAGTCTCATCGACACAGCTGCTGGGACAATGAGCTGTCAAACCAATTTTGGAATTGAAATTTTTGAATAAAAAATTATTTAAATTAGTAAAAATTCTTAATAAGTACATACCATAACCGTTTCCGGTTAGCGTCGTATAGGAAAACATATATAAATCTACTTATTTTTGAAGAAACATTTAAACATTTTTTGTCATATCAATGTTCCCAGGCGTTGATGCATCTACCTGTATTCTTCTACCATGATCATGACCATGGCAGAACGACACAGCTGCTGGGACGGAGAACAGAATCCTAGAGTCAATGTACCCATGGTACAATGAAGAGAAGGTAGGTCAACTTTGAAAAAATTGCAAGTATAGAGGTCTACCTGTTAGGCTTGTAATGTCAGAATTACTATCAAAACAATAAAAAAGCAAACAACTTGTTGCATTGATTTTGAATAAATAATTTAAAACCGCGAAAACTGAATGAATGGTCAACATTTCTTTTCAATATCATGTTCTATATATCTCTTATGGTTTATTTCGTGACAAAAACTGTAGATTTTGTCGATGCATTCGTTGCAATAAGCATTTTGAAAACACCCGAATTTGAATATTTTCTGAACAATTTTTTTGTTATTGAAAAGAAAACACATACATAAGCAAATAAAGATGACATATTAAGCCAAGAAAATAAAAAAATTGAAATCATATGGTATCATAGCCCTACCTTGATATCATTGTACCATGAATGTACCCAAGTTAAACTGAAGTTCATTGGTGAACAAAACCGTCAAATCATCCGCCCCGTTCATGAAGGCGATATCTTGACATTGTTGGAATCTGAACGTGAAGCCAAGGAGACTTCGCTAGAGAGTTACGGTGGTCAAAGCTGAGCGGAGGGTGGAGTATGACTTTTGCTGGAATTATTGCAAATTCTGAATGGGTTTTATATTATAGTAAGTATAAAAGTTTCAGTGATGTTACCAAGCAACAAAAGTCCCTTTCGGACAGCTTTGAAGATGTAATAATAAATAAAAAAATAAGACACTTAGGGTGACATAGTTTAAGTTGGGTTCATTATTTAAAGTAGGACGTCAGTTTATAACTTAAGCCTGAAACAACAAAACCGTAAAAAACTTATGTATTTTCCATTTTTATATTGCGGAATCTAAAAGGTGAGATTTTTATTGATTTTGGATAAAGGGCATCTGTTGGCACAATGAACTGTCAAACCAATTTTGAAATTGCAAATGTTGAATGAAAAATTATTTAAATTTGTAAAAATTGTTGAAAAACGGGAATTATAATAACCTCTGAATGACATCGTATAAGAAAACATATAAAAATCTACTTATATTTGAAAAAACATTAAAATTTTTTTGACAGATCAATTTTCCCAAGCGTTGATGCGTCTACCTGTATATTTCTACCATGATAAAGGGTTTGTTATATCAGGGACTACCGTAATTTTGTATTTTTGGAGAAATAACTCTTAAGTTTCCTTAATAGTTGTTTGCATTTGTCATCATATTTATTAACATTTTAATCAATTTATTGCATAAAAATACTCACCAAATGCCAATGATAAGGATTCATTTTTTATGTGTTTTCCTTAATATTTCACTTTACAACACTGGAAAACACAATGCTTTACAGTGCTGCCAATACTCCGCGTTTAACATGAGTAAACTTAACTTTTTAGATCCCTAACACTTTTGACAATTGTTTCGTCGATTTATAGATCCCATATCGCCGGCTGGCTTGTCGTGCTGGTTTAATTAATTTTTTAAAATAATTGTAAAATTAATAAAAATACACCCAGAATTTACATTTTTTGTGTAAATAACATTAGAAAAGACAAGCCGTGTGAAGATTTACATTTCTATTTATAAAAATACACAACAATAAAACTGCAAAATGTCTGTGAGGGATCAAATCAAAATTGATATTGTAAGTTTGGGTTTGGTGGCAAAATGCTGCATGTCCGAGGGTCTCTATTGGCTATTGTTTTGTCTTTCAGGAATGGGGCCATGAACGTTTGGTGCGGGCCCAACAAGTGGTGGAAATGCGTCCGTACGATATTGAGTCATGGTCCACACTGTTGAGAGAGGCTCAACTTCGTCCCGTCAATGAGGTGCGCAGTCTATACGAGTCTCTGGTAAATGTTTTCCCAACCACTGCCCGCTACTGGAAGATCTACATTGAACAAGAAATGAAGGGCCGGAACTTTGAGCGCGTAGAAAAACTGTTTCAACGTTCGCTGGTAAAGATTTTAAACATCGATTTGTGGAAATTATATTTGACATATGTCAAGGAGACCAAGGCGGGCTTAAGTACACACAAGTAAGTGGGAATAGGGTATTTATCAAAAAAGGAACTAATGAATATAATGTTATTTCTTTTTGCAGAGAAAAACTGGCCCAGGCCTATGATTTTGCCTTGGAAAAAATTGGCATGGATCTGCATTCGTTTTCCATATGGCAGGATTACATCTCGTTTTTGAGAAGTGTGGAAGCTGTGGGCAGCTATGCAGAAAATCAAAAAATCACCGCTGTCCGTCGCGTGTATCAGAAAGCTGTCATCACACCTATTGTGGGTATTGAACAGCTGTGGAAAGATTATATCCAGTTCGAGCATGGCATAAATCCCATTATTTCGGAAAAGATGAGCTTGGAACGATCCAAGTAAGTAGTTGACACGATTGTTTTTAACAGTTTATGTTGGAAAGTGAATGTAGGAGGCAAGGTGAAATATAAAATTATTTAAAGTGAAGACTATATGTGATTGGAAAAATGGGTCTGATGGTGTAATGAGGATTATATTAAATGGAACATAATTATTTTTTTATTTTTATTGGAAGTACATTCTCCTTAGATGGAGGCTTCTATACTTCGAGACTATGTAAAACTTCAAAACCGCCGGCTATGAAGGCCCTAAAAAACATTCTTCATAAAAAATTGTTTAAAATTTAAATGGGTTGATTAAATATTTTATTTTCCTTAAATTTAAAAATGATTATTATGGTTTAATTGATTATTTTCTGTTGCATAGGGACTATATGAATGCTCGCCGTGTCGCCAAAGAATTAGAGAACATAACAAAAGGTCTGAATCGTAATCTACCCGCCGTACCACCAAATTTATCTAAAGAGGAAACCAAACAAGTAAATCGATATCTTATAAAATGTCCTATGCGATTTCAAATTAAATATCAAACTTATTTTTCTTCTTAGGTTGAACTCTGGAAAAAATTCATTGCCTTTGAGAAATCCAATCCTCTGCGAACTGAAGATACCGCTTTGATAACACGTCGTGTCATGTTTGCCACGGAACAATGTTTGCTGGTATTGACACATCATCCAGCTGTTTGGCATCAGGCTGCACAATTTTTAGATCAAAGCTCAAAGGCTTTGACCGACAAAGGAGTGCGTATTGTGTTTTCCTATAATTATATGTTTGATTTTCAGGATTTTGTGGCAAACCTGTGTGTGGGGAAACAAATGGTTATCGGATATCGAAAGACCATGCAACAGTTTTTGCCAATTCTTTTTGAGTTTGGCCAATGGATAAGACTATCAATAAACTGTGGGACTCTTGTGTCTCATTTAAACATACAAACTGAAACTGAATGGATTTTTTATTTGACAACAACAAATGCCGGCAGGTATTGGAGAAATTGCATTGATACAAAACCAAAGAGAAGAATTTAAATGGAAATAATTTCAATTATGCGAAAAAGCCTAATGATCCAATTTTAGTATATTTTTAAAATACATTTCTTTTCTTACATTTTATTGATTGAAGAAAATGCAATTCCTCTGATGCCTCCAAGGGCATTCCTTTATTATGTGTCTCTGTGTTTTATATATTTTAACTAATTTAATTATCAATTTCAAATTTGTATAAATTTAAATTAAAATCTTCTTCCCATTTGTGTTTGAATTAGGATACCCAAGCTGCCAAAATATTTGCGGACGAATGTGCCAATATCTTGGAACGTTCCATCAATGGTGTACTGAACAAAAATGCATTGCTATACTTTGCCTATGCTGATTTCGAAGAAGGACGCATGAAATATGATAAAGTTCATGCCATGTATAACAGTTACTTGGCCATTCCAGATATTGATCCAACACTGGTGAGAAGAATTCAGCTCGACCCTGATCATCAGGACCAAATGTAAAATTATTTTATTTTAAAATTTTAAATTTCTTTCTTTTTTCCAGGCCTATGTCCAGTACATGAAATTTGCCCGCCGTGCCGAAGGCATTAAATCTGCACGTGCCGTCTTTAAGAAGGCCCGTGAAGATGTACGTTCCCGTTATCATGTTTTTGTTGCTGCCGCCCTAATGGAATACTATTGTTCCAAGGATAAGGATATTGCTTTTCGTATTTTCGAGCTGGGTTTGAAACGTTTTGGGGGTAGTCCAGAATATGTTATGTGCTACATCGATTATCTATCGCATTTGAACGAGGATAACAATACGAGAGTGCTGTTTGAGCGTGTGCTATCTTCGGGCGGTCTAACCCCGCAACACAGTGTAAATATATGGAATCGATTTTTGGAATTTGAATCGAATATTGGTGATCTCTCGAGTATTGTTAAGGTGGAGAGGCGGCGAAGTGCAGTGTTGGAAAATGTAAGACTTTTTAAAGGAGGAAATATGATACTCTTGGTATTGATATTTTTTTATTTTGTCTTCTTTCAAAGCTAAAAGAATATGAAGGCAAGGAAACGGCCCAACTGGTGGATCGTTATAAGTTTTTGGATTTGTATCCTTGCACGACCATAGAATTAAGATCCATTGGTTATACAGAGGTAAGTGGTACAAAAATTGTATTTGGAAGCAGATTTTTAATAAATTTTCCATCCATAGAATGTTGGTATAACCCTGAACAAGCTGCCCACGGCTGCCATACCCGGTGCGCCAGTGGTCAAAGAAGAACCTGAAAATGAACCTGCTGTGCAATTACCCAAGCCTGACTTTTCGCAATTTATACCCTTTAAGCCCAAGGCCAATGCCTATCCCGGTGCCCATCCCTTGGCTGGGGGTGTCTTCCCTCAACCCCCAGCATTGGCGGCCTTGTGTGCCACCCTACCACCACCCATTTGTTTTAGGGGTCCATTTGTTTCCATTGAAATGTTGTTTGATATTTTCAATCGCATCAAACTGACAGATGGTGAGACTTTGAAATTTACCATTCCATTCAATTTTTTAATGAGTTTAATTTCCAGCACCCCCCTTACCCTCCGGAGATCCTGGTTGTGACACCAAGATCTTTGATTTAGCCAAGTCGGTACACTGGATTGTGGATGAAAGTGTGTGCTCGGGCGATGCAACGGCGGGCATTAAACGACGTCGCATGCTACCCGGTGGTGATGACAGTGATGAAGAAACACCCACGGCCGCCCCACCCGTCAATGATATCTATCGTCTAAGGCAACAGAAACGTTTTTCGAAGGTTTAAGATACCCATAACTATTTGGGGAGGCGAAAAAAAAAAACAAAAACGTTTTTTTCCATTTAATTTATTGTACAATTGTTTTTTTTATAATTATCCCAAGATATACATACCTACAAACATGCCTATATATAATATTATGATACAGTTTAATAAAGCAGATACACATTTTCCAAAAAACAGGCTGGTCGAAAAGAATGGATTTCTTGGCTGAATTCAAATGATAACTGAGGGACCATTATCTCAACAATTTTCGTGCAGAAATGAAGTAACTTTTAGGGGAATTCAAATGTTTCTGGATGACCACTATCTAGACAATTCCTTAAACTCAATGACAGGGCATAAGGATCTACAATCAAATATTTCCAGAGATTAGACCATATCCTAACGTAATCAATTAGGGAGCATTTTCATTGCGGACCCAAATGGCACCCCATAACTTAGCACAAACCCATGAATCGCATTAGATGAGGTCAAAAATACGTCTATGCCCCAAGTGTTGGCGTGTTGAACATGCTGTTGCAAGCTACCTCTTACGATTTTAAAGTAAAAATGTTGTTCAAAAATCTTTACCCATCGACCTGTTGCGTTCTCATCTCAGCAAACCATGTGGAACTGATTTAATTTTCAGCCTCGATATCTCCTTATTTATAAATACTATTCAGATCTGTCTGATAGGTTTGTGGGTCTAAAGGATCTCTGTTATTAAACACATGAGAAGATCTCTGTGTATATCCTCTAGGATCCTCCTGAGATTGAATGCATATTAGGAAAGTTATATTTCTTTCCTAATGTGAACGGATAAGGTGATTGGGAAGATCGGATTGAGCTGGATTTTGTAAAGAAATTCTATCCAGAATGCAGCTTTACCTTCGCAAACGATTTTAGCTGCAAAGTCGAGACTTTCTATTATTACTTATTCACACTCATCCTTTTCTCAGATCTATTCACACTCATCTTTTTCTCAGGTCTCGACTTTGCAGCTTAAATCGTTTGCGAAGGTAAAGCTGCATTCTGGATAGAATTTCTTTACAAAATCCAACTCAATCCGATCTTCCCAAACACCTTTGTTCCCAAGGATGAGTGTGAATAGAAAGGACGCTGAGCCTTCCAAAAAGAGAGGAAAAACTGCTTGATGGACCACCGTTCTCCAAGCAAACTTAAAGTAGACAAAAGGGTGGTTCATATCAAAAAGGTGTGAAATGAATCCGGTTTTCGGAGACAGTATGGTCCCAGAGAAGTTGAAACCCGGGAGTTAGTCTCACTCATCAGAGAGGTAGAATGGTGTGAATGAGAAGTCGATACACCAGATTATGTCTCGTTCTTCTGAGAGAACGAAGGGATGAACCACTTAATTCGAAGCAGGCTAAATTGTGAAAGAAGACAAAGGGTGGTTAATGACAAAAGGTTGCGAAAAGGTTCAGGTCTATGGAGACAGTATGATCCATGAGAAGCCGAAATCTAAGAGAAAGACTCATTCTTCGAAGAAAGAAATGAGTGCCAAAGGATTCGGTCTTCTGAGGCATTAAAATAAAATGGCTAATTAGATAGTCCGTGGTGGCAGAAATTTCAAACCTTGGAATTGGAAAATTGGTGCCATAGTTCCCCAATTTCGATCGAAGGAAAGAGACGTATGTCCCTCTGTGGAAATCACTCTAGCTTCCGAACGAAATGAAGTAGGCTGATATAAATTTACTCAAATGTATATTATGTCTGCAGAACTTTTGGTATTGAAAATTGGTCATGTAGGTCTACGTTTTGGTATAGCCCCCATATAACGGTACCTCTCGATATTCGGTATTTTGATGATTTTAGCGACATTATTCTCCGGAAATGTTTCAAATTTGGTTTTTGAAGTTCGAAATGGGTATTACAGCCTATAACAGAATATTGTATGTGCAGATCTACGGTTTGGTATAACCCCCATATAATGGCATCTCCCGATATTCGGTATTTTGATGATTTTAGCTACATTATTCACCGGAATTATTTCAAATTTCGTATTTGAAGTTCGTAGTGTATACTACAGCCTATAACAGAAAATTGTCTGTGCAGATCCACGTTTTGGTATAACCCCCATAGAATGGCACCTCCCAATATTCGGTATTTTGATCATTTTACCGACATTATTCACCGGAATTATTTCAAATTTGGTATTTGAAGTTCGTAATGGATACTACAGCCTATGACAGAAAACTGTCCGTGCAGGTCCACGACTTCGTATAGCCCCCATATAATGGCACCTCCCGATATTCGGTAATTTGATGATTGTAGTGACATTATTCACCGGAAATGTTTCAAATTTGGTATTTGAAGATCGTAATGGACAGAAAATTGTGTGTGCAGGTCCACGTTTTGGTATAGTACCCGTATAACGGTTTTCATTTAAGTGAAAGTTTTCGGATTTTTTTTGAAATTTTCCTAGATCCTTCCAAATGGTGGAGGGTATTAAAAGTTAGTTAACTTAAGTTAACTTAGCTACTTTTTTACTTGTTTTTTTTGTTTAAATAAAAACAATAAATTCAAGGTAGGACAGAACTACCATATGATTTCAATTTTTTTATTTTTCTGGCTTAATATGTCAACTTAATTTGTTTATGTGTGCGTGTTCTTTTCAATAATAAAAAATTTTTCAGAAAATATTCAAATTCGGGTGTTTTCAAAATGCTTATTACAACATATGCATCGACAAAATCTACAGTTTTTGTCGCGAAATAAACCATAAGAGATATATAGAATATGATTTTGAAAAAAAAAATTTTGAACTATCGCGTTTTCGCGGTTTTAAATTATTTATTCAAAATCAATAGTTGTGTCTGGTTACTTTTCCAGCAGGAATTGTCCAGTAACTTCTTTCTGAGAGAGTAAGGTAGTTTTATTCTCTTTTGCAAGGAAAATGCGAAAAGTAAACAGACGGTATTCCTGCAGAAGCTTGCAACTAATCAGCTGATTTGTCAAAACAAACCAATTTGTCCCCCATAAGGAGAATTAAAACAAAGGAAGCAATACTAATTTTACAAGTTTTTTAAATAAAAATGTTGGAAATATTCGTTTATTTTCTTATTGCATATTAACATTTACGTTTTTCACATTTTGTAAAGTTGTTCTCCAAAAACTATTAGTCTTGCTAATTCCAAAAAAATATATTTTCAAATTGAAAGCACAAAAAGAAATAAACAAACAATAGAAAACATCTGATTGAATGTCGATGAATGAGAAGAAGAAGAGTTGCAAGTGATTGCAAGAAGAAATTTTTCCAGCAAGAATTTGCAAACTCTCACTGAAAGAACTGTCAAAATTTCTCTCTCCAACCGCTCTCTTTTGCAGAACTTTTGGGTTAACAGACGACTTCCAGTAACAATTTGTAACAATTGTTACAAACTTTAGGGTAACCAGACACACCTAATGCAACAAGTTTTTTGCTTTTTTATTGTTTTGATAGTAATTCTGACATTACAAGCCAAACAGGTAGACCTCTATACTTGCAATTTTTTCAAAGTTGACCTATCTTCTCTTCATTGTACCATGAATAAAACACATTTTTGTTTACCCAAGCTTTTTTTTATTTGTTATTGTATTTATTTTGATTGATATGACATCTGTATTATTTGTTTATATGTATGTTTGTTGGTTTCTTCACATAAAAAACATTAATTTGTTGTGCATTCTATTTGTTGTTGTAATTTGTAAGTTTAGGCTATTTTACAGATTGCGAGGAAATGGTTTTACGGCTATTTCATGGTTTCTCCATCCCAATGGGGAACAAAACTAAACAAATGCATTTTTTTTGTAAAAAATATAATTTTTAATTATTACAAATTATTCGATTGTTTTTACTATTTTACACTATACATTTAATTACATAGAATATTATTAGTTCGTATTTCGTTGCTATAGCTTAGATATATATTTTAAATATTATTTTAATTTTATATTGTAGAAATTTCTTATAGAAATTTAGGAACTCTAGGATCGTTTAAAGTGTTATACCTATAGTATTGGTAATTGGTAATTATACATATGTATATAATATATATTTTTATTTTTTATGTATATAAATGTAAATGTGTTTACCTGTGTGAGTGTGTAAATATCTTAAGTCATTTAATGCGAGCAAATGGTTTCTAGGATTTTGTTTTTAATTTTATATGAATGTCTTCGATATTTCAAAAAAAAAAAAAAAAAACAGTATTTTAAAGGGATTTAGGAAAGTAAAAATAAAACTTAAAATAAAGAGAAATATAGAAATACAGAGCAGTTGGTAAAAAAATAATATGTCTGGTCGATTATATCCCAATTTCAGATTTAAGCAATTGGTAAAAAAATAACATGTCTGGTCGATTATATCCCAATTTCAGATTTGAGTTATGGACATAAGATTGTTGGGTCAAAGATTATCGATTAGTAATTTGACGAAATAAATTAGTAATAAATAATTAAATTATTTAATAATTTTTTTAAATTAAAATTAGTAAATTAGGATAAATAAAGACCATTTGTGAAGGTAAGAAAGGATTTTAGAGACAAGTGGGAATTGTATCGTATTGCAAGAGTTCCATACGGGCAGAGCATATCTTTAGTTTTCTTTCTGTAAAAATGTTTTTTTTTGCCTCTGGAATATTAATCAGTTTTGCCATGGAATTGAAATGTTAAACAGTTTGGAACATCTTTTTGAAAAAAAAAAAAAAAATATCCAGACATTTCATTCATTTTTCGTGCGATTCAATTCATTTCAAAAAATGAAGAAAAATATCAAAGAAATTTAAATAACTTTATGCATCAAATTTGGAATAATTCTAAGAGAAAGCGGGCTTAGCTCAGGGATGTGTTTCAATAGTTTTACGAAGCTGTTCTATCTCCTTATTGTACCATGGGTAAATCGCGAAATTTTCTTTATCATGCTGTTGAAAGCGACCTCTCAGGATTTTTAATTAAATTTTGGTCAAAATCGTTACCCATCGACCTGTTGCGTTCTCATTTCAGCAGATCATGTGATACTGAATTTATTTACATCCTCCAAGGCTCCATATTTGATAGATTAGTGGGTCTAAAGGGTCGCTGTTATTAAATACCCTTGAAGATCTCTGTGTATATCCTCCAGAATCCTCCTGAGATTAAATGCATATTAGGAAAGTAATTTTCCTTTTCTAATGTAAACGGATAAGGTGTTTGGGAAGATCAGATTGAAGCTGGATTTTGTAAAGAAATTCTATCCTGAAGGCAGTTTTACTTTCGCAAACGATTTAAGTTGCATAAAATCGAAAGAAGCAGAGGTCAGGAAAGCAATAACTCTTATCTACCCTAAGGGGGTCTCGGACCCATCAGTATGATGCCGGATATACCTAGCAAGTGTCACTCTTCTGAGAAAAAGAAGAATGCAAAAAGGTAAGGAAGACGGATTAATAAACCATCAACCGCGAAGCAGACTGGCACACTCAAAGAAGACAAAGGTTGGTACATAACAAAGGGTTGTGAAAGGAACCGGGTTTCGGAGGCAATATAATCGCAGAGAAAGCAAAACCGCAAAGCTTGTTTCATTCTCCTGAGAAAAAGATGAATGCGAAATGAAAACAAGATGAGCCCGCAAAAGGGGAGAAAAATCTGCTGGATTGTTGGGTGGTTCATAACAAAGGGCGTGAAAAGAATCCCACTTCCGGAGACTGTATGGTCCCTAAAAAGCCGATATCCCCAACTAAGTCTCAATCTTCTGGGAGAAAGATGGGTACGAATTAAAGAAGGCGGTGTGCCCGCCAAAAAGATGGGGAAAACTAGACCAGTTTTCCTCGAAGCTTGTTGCAATGCTGATCAAAGATGGTTCAGAACAAAAGGGTGTTAGAACAAAACTGGTTTCAGGGGCAATATGGATCCTGAAGTTCTGAAATCCCGGACCAAATCACATTTTTCTGACATTTTTGACATTCTGGAATTTTTGACAAACCCCCCAAAAAGACAAAAATGAGTTCACTATAGGGCAAAATGAACGATATAACAAATTATAGTCTACACGCTTGCATTTCCAAATGGTGTGACAGACATATTATTTGTTTCTAAGCTTAGTATCCGGAATTGGATTACTTCTGGTTTAGTAAAAAATTTGTGGATTTTCTTTTTATTTTTTTTTTTAGGTTTTGAAGCCTGATTCCGGAAATGTTTTTTTTTTTTTTTTTTTTTGTAAACGGAACCGGGTATCCTGACATTTGAACCGATTAATAACCGGTTCCAGCTAACTGATGTATACAATATTGGTACCATATGAAAGCTTATGAAAATACCTATCCAAAAAATGGACAATTTTATCGGTTCCAGAGTAATACAAGAAAATTCATATTTTCGTATCGGAACAGTTTTAAAAAAGTAAAAAATAGGAGCGTTATAGGATAAAATACAGTCTACATCCTTGCCTTCCCAAATGTATGAATATCTCCTTTAAGTTTCTAGAATATTAAGCCGTTTTTAGTAACCAAACTTGTTTTAACTCTAGTTTATTAAAATCTCTGGATTTTTTTTTTTTAAATGTATCCAGAGGTAGTTATTTGTTCCCGGAAGCAGGGAAAGTATTTTTTTCTTGGAAACGATAGTTTTTTTTTGAAACTGTTTCCAGAGGCAAGTATTTGTACCTGGATGCAAGAACTGTTTTTTTTGGATGGAACCGAGTACTTTTATTTTTAACTCGAAAATGTGGGATTAATCCAATCCCTCCGATTTGAGCTGATATTAACTATTTGGTGAATAATAATCCTGAAATCTGATAACTATATATATTTGGGAGTGTGAACCGATCCCGATGAAATTTGGCAGAGGTATTTCTGAGCTGTTTCCGTTATCTAATATCAAATATAACTCTTTAAGAGTGCACATTGCAAATGTTTAAGTACCTCAAACACTAAATCGGATGAAAAATATATATGGGAGCTATAGCTATATCTGAACCGATTTTCATCAAATTTTAATTATTTGTTTCCGGGCTGAAATTGGTCCGATGTGCCAAAATCCACTTCATTTGGGATGATATTACACTTGAAATCGGATAAAGATATATGTGGGAGCTATATCCAAATCTGAACCGATCTCGATGGAATTTGGTAAAAATATTTCTGAGCTGTATCTGATATCTGTTACCAAATATAATTGTCGTAGAGTGTATATTGCGTATGTTTAAGTACCTTAAACACTAAATCGAATGAAAATTATATATGGGACCTATAGTTATATCTGAACCGATTTTCATCAAATTTTAAGTACTTGCATCTAGGTTGAATTCAGACGGATTTACAAAAATCCACTTAATTTGGTCTGATATTACACCATTTAGTGAACAACAAACCTGAAATCGGATAAATAAATATTTTTGAGTTATATCCAAATCTGAAAAGATCTCGATGAAATTTGGCAGAGGAGGTATTTATGTGCTGTATGAGATATCTAGGACCACTATCATCATTGTTGTGGCGAGCATATTACGAATGTGAAATTTTGCAAATACCAATATTTTATCTGTATGAGATGAAGTGTGAAAATGGAATTCTAAGGTCCGCTATATCTGTTAACTCAGGCATATTTTGCACATTTTCCAAAAATTTGCATATTTAGATCAGTCTTAGGGAAGATACGAATTGATCAATATTGGCCAAGGGTCAAAAGTTTGAATAATCATAATTCAAGGCTGGGGGTAAACATTTGTCGGTAAAACTGACTGATACTATTTTACTTGCTTAAAATAAAATAAGTTAAAAAGCAGTAAGTTCGGCCGGGCCGAACTTTGAATACCCTCTACCATTTGGAACGAATTTGGAAATTTTCAAAAAATAAAATGCTTAAAAAGATCTGTTAAAATTTTAAAAATACCGAATATAGACGTTATATTGGGGTCTATACGACGTGGACCTACATAGGCATCGTTTGTCATAATCCATTACCATATTCAAATTCGAAACTTGAAATAAACGGTAAATAATATAGCTAAAATCATCAAAATATCGTAGGGAGGTACCGTTATATCGGAGCTGTGCGAAGACCCGGACCAGCATAGACAATTTTCTGTCACAGGCTATAGCATCCATTACGAACGTCAAATACATCATCTCAAACATCTCAAACAATTTCGGTGGGTATTGTACCTAAACTCGACAAAATACCGAATATCGGGAGGTACTGATATATGGGGCCTATACGAAGACCTGGACCTGCATAGACAATTTTCTGCCAATTTTAAAACAATTCCGGTGAATAATGTCGCTAAAATCATCAAAATACCGAATATAGGGAGGTATCGTTATATGGGGGCTATATGAAGACGTGGACCTGCACAGACAATTTTCTGTCTTAGGGTGTAGTATCCATTTTGAACTTCAAATACCAAATTTGAAACAATTCCCGTGAAGAATGTCGCTAAAATCATCAAAATACCGAATATCGGGAGGTACCGTTATATGGGGGCTATACGAAGACCTGGACCTGCATAGACAATTTTCTGTCGCAGACTGTAGTTCCCATTACGAACTTCAAATACCAAATTTGAAACATTTCCGGTGAATAATGTTGCCGAAATCATCAAAATACCGAATATGGGGAGGTGCCGTTATATGAGGGCTATACCAAAACGTGGACCTGCACAGATAATTTTCTGTCATAGGCTGTAGTATCCATTTCGAACTTAAAATAGCAAAGTTGAAACAGTTCCGTTGAATAATGTCGCTAAAATCATCAAAATACCGAATATCGGGAGGTACCGTTATATGGGGGCTACATGAAAACGTGGACCTACATGGCCCATTTACGAACTTAAACTGTCCACTGGAAAAATAAACACGTGTGCAAAATTTTAGCCTTCTATCTCAATTCGTTCGAAAGATATCGTGATTACAACAGACAGACAGACGGACATGGCTAAATCGAATTAGAATTTTACGCTGATCAAGAATATATATACTTTGTTGGGTCTGACATGAATATTTCGAGGAGTTACAAACGGAATGACAAAGTTAATATACCCTCCATAGTATGGTGAAGGGTATAATATTTAAATAACTCATTCATCAAATGGAAGTGAAATATTTGAGTTCTTATGTCTAAAGACGATGTTTCAAAAATGGTTTTTAATTTGAAACATCGACAACAAATCAATATTAACCTCGAATAATTATTTTAAATTATGGAGAATAAATGGATAAATTTTTTGTTCAACACAAAATTGCAATCGCCCAAGTGTATTTTGAAAATAAAAGTAAAAAATGAAAAAAAATATTTCTTTAAAAAAGAAAAATAAAAAAAACATATTAATTTATTTCGAAAACATAAGATTTTCTCATTAATATATTTATATATATTTTTTAAATATTTATAAGTATGTAAATATTATCTTTATACAACTTAGATTTTTTGAGCTAATTCAGTTTCCTCGATAAGGTTAATCTACATTACTATGCGGGGTATAATTTGTCCATGTTACTTGTTGTTGTTGTTGTTCTTGTTGGTCTTATATCTGTTTTACAGAAATAACAATTACTAATTAAATTAAGGAAAAAAAAACATATGAAATTAAAACAAATAAATACAATTTATATACTAAAAATATTTATAATTTTAAGTATTTTTATATATTTTTTTTAAATACTATATGCATAGTTGTTGCATTTGTTTGTATATAATGTGTTATGTATATGTATATATATAAATATAAATGTATGTTTTCATAGGAACTGTTGTTGATTTGTTGTCTAAATTTTGTTTTTGTTTTTTGTTTCTCAATTGAATTTGTTATTCTTTCTTCGTTTTAATATCCAAAGGATTTTAAGTTTTGTTTCTTAAGAGCAAGAAAAATAGGAATTTTGTTGGGTTTTTGAGTTTTGAGGGGAAATATACAATTTGTTCTTTTTTTTTTTCTTAAAAATAGTTTTTTTATTTTTATACAATTCAATTCTGTTTTATTCCATAAAATCTCTACTGGGATTTTGTTCTAAGGCTTGGTTTAGGAAATTTTCGGTTTGCAAGTTTTTTTTTTATATTTTACAATATTTCAGTTTTTTGTATAAATTATTTTTTCTCTTAGCCTTACATCTCCTTCCCTTACGGACTGTGATATCTCTTCCGATGCTTGTACAGTCCAGCATATTGGGAAAATTGTTTGTCACAGCTGTCGCACTTGAAACGTTTCGTGTCACTGTGCAACATCAGATGGGCATAATACGACGAACCCTTGACAAACGATTTACCACAAATCGGACAATTTTTATCACGTATATTCAAATGCCATCGGGTATGGCGATCCCTTTCAAATGCCGTAAAGAATGCCTTGGGACAGTGATCACACTTGAAATCCTTCTTTCCCGTATGCCTGAGGACATGTTGATTCAATTTACTGGCATTCACAAACGACAGACCACATTTCTCACAAACATATGGACATTCTTTGGTATGACTTCGCACGTGAATTTTCAATGAATGCGAATTGAAGAACTTCTTGGGACACATGGTACAGGCGAAATTACGCACACCCTCGTGACGTATCAGATGATGACCCAAATTGCCACGATTACTAAATTTCGCCCCACATATGTGACAAACATTATCCAAATTTTGCGATGACGATGCCTCATCGCCACCTTTACCACGGAATTTCCTTCGCTTCGGTTCATGTTCCTTGCGCAGGTGGCAATTGAAATCTTTGAGCTTTTTGAAATCCATGCCACAGAACTCACACTCAAACGGATCGATGTGGGCATCAATGAAATTAAATTCCTCATAATATTCAAAATCGGGAAAGAATTTCTGTTTGTTATTCAGGCATCGGATACGTTTCTTTTTGTCGGCACGATATTGCGTCCTCAGCTCAATGATACGATTCTTAATACGTTCCGGACTGATTTGTTTATTGGTTCCCTCGATCAGGCGATTGTAGACAATGTTGATGTTACGTTGCTTCACCGGCCTCTTATTGTAATCCGGATCTCGGGTGTTCCACAATTGCGGCAGATCTTTGTAGATTTCAATGAGTTTTAGGGTTACGCTACGGTCGTGTATGGACTTGCCCATTTCATTGCTGACACCGATCTGGAAAAAAGAGGGGAAAGAAAAACAAAATTAGAAAAGGAGGATAAAGAATAAATAGAAGAGGGGAATTCTTCCATAAAAGGATTTTACGATCGTCTTTAAGGCCTCTTTTCGGACGTCTATGAAGAAGACTTTCGAGGCGTCCATAAAGGCGACTTTTCGGTCTTCATTGAGATCACTTTTCGGTCGTATTTAAAACTAATTTCCGGTCTTCTATAAAGTCCAGTTTCTGATCGTCTATAAACGATTTTCAGGTCGTCTATAAAGCCGACTTCTTAGTCGTCCATAAAGGCGACTTTCCGGACGTCTATAAAGAAGACTTTCTGGCCGCTCATAAAAACGATTTTCGGTCTTCTTTATAACAACAAAACGTTTTTCCGATCGTCTATATTTACGTCTATAAGGACGACTTCTATAAAGACCGACCTTCTATAAAGACGTCATTAAGACCATTTTTCGGACGTCTATAAAGAAGACTTTCTAGGCGTCCATAAAGACTACTTTTCGGTCTTCTTTGAGATCACTTTTCGGTCGTATTTTAAACTACTTTCCGCTCATCTATAAAGTCCAGTTTCCGATCGTTTATATGCGATTTTCCGGTCGTCCATAAAAACTACTCCGTAGTCGTCCATAAAGGCGACTTTCCACTCGTACATAAAGACGACTTTAGGATCGCCTTTAAGACCACTTTTCGGACGTCTAGACTTTCTAGCCGTTCATAAAAATTATTTTCGGTATTCTTTAAGACCTCTTTCCAGTCGTATTTTAAACTACCTTCCGGTCTTCTATAAAGTCCACTTCCCGATAGTCTATAAAAAGGTCTTCCGGGTCATCTAATAAAACTATTTTCCGCTCGTCTATAAAGACGGCATCCTGGTCGTCCATAAAGCAACATTTCGGTGGTTAATAAACACCACTTTTCGGTCGTCTATATAGGACTTCTTAGTCATCTAAAAGGCGACATTCCGGTCGCCTTCAAGACCACTTCCGGTCGTTTTTAAGACTATTTCAGGTCGTCATTAAAACTACTTTCTGGTCATTTTTAAAACTACTTTCTGGTCATCTTTAGGACGACTTTCCGGTCACCTTAAACAACGACTTTCCGGTCGTCTTTAAAGACAACTTTCGAGTCGTCCACAAAGACTACTCTACGGTCGTCTCTAAAGACGAGATCCTGGTCTTCCATAAAGACGACTTTCTAGTCGTCCACAAAGATGTCTTCTCAGTCATCTAAAAATACAATATTTTGGTCGTTTTCATGATCTCTTTCAGGACGTCTTGACGTCTTTCTGGAGGGCTTTAAAACTACTTTTCTAACGTCTTTCTGGTTGTCTTCAAGACTACTCTTGGGTCGTCCACAAAAACGACTTTCCTGTTGTCCATAAAGACGACTTTCCGGTCGTCCATAATGACGACTATTCGGACATCTTTTCTGGACTTCGCCGAAGGTCCTCTAGTCGTCTATAGAGACGATTTTCTTGACGTTTATAGCAAGACTGTTTAATCACCCAAAAATCCGATCTTTCTCTTGTCCACAAACATTTCGTTCTATTCGTCCCGCAAAAGTTCCTCCAACTCACCACATCATCCAAAAATGTCAAATCCTTATAGAACGCCCATTTAATATCTCCCGGACTTTGTTCGGCCACCAATTTCTTATAGTATTTAGCGTAATCGATTAACTTCCGATACAGCGAACGCCACGAAAAGTTACGATGTAAGATTTTATTAAATTCCGATGTTAGCGAGAACCATGCCTGGCGCCGCAAACTTCGTGTATTATAATCCAAATGATTTGGATCCCATAGTTGGCGGTAACGACGATAAACGGATATCATTAGGCGAATTTCATCGTCCGATAGACGGGCACACTGGGCATCACCATCGCCGGAATGACACTGGAAATGAGAGAGAAGAGAAAAAAATTTAATATTTGAATATTTTTAAAATAAATTAAATTAATATTTACCTCATCGTCCACAACATCGGAGGATTTTGGTTTGGTTGAACGCCGTCGGCCCAGAATTTTTGGAAGATTTTCATTGAACTGTAATTTGAAGAAAAAATTGAGCAAATTAAAACATTTTAATAAATAATAAAAATAGTGAAGTTTTATAAAAGAAAATTTTGTAGCATTGTTCTGAATATTTCAATATAATAAAAAAAAAAATAAAAAAAAAAATAAAAAAAAAATAAAATAAAAAAAATAAAATAAAAAAATAAATAAAAATAAATAAAATACAAATTCAAAAGATTTCGAAAAAATAATAAAAATAGTGCAGTATGGATTATAAAAGAAAACTTTGTGGCTTGTCCTGAATATTTCAATAGATCAAAATTTAAAGCTTTAAAGGTGTTATGGAAGTCAGCCAACATAATATTAGGGGAAAATTGATGAAAAACACGTTAGATGATACTTAGAGAGATCTATTAGAGCTACTTTAATATGAGAAAGCTTAAAAAATACTGATTTTGGGATTTTTCTGCAGTATAACAGTTTTCAGAAAACTGTTATACAGCTCAAAAATTGTTTTATTTGAATATTCTGTTGGTATAAATGGAAAATATTACAATTTGAAGCTATTCTCTTGAGTATAACAGTTTATTGTAACTGTTATACAGAAAGAAAAAGCGCCAATCAATAAAAAAAGTGCAGAGACAAATAAAATTGGCTTAGAAATACACTTTCCACATGTATAACAGTTTTTTTATAACTGTTATACTATTAAAAATCTCGTATTTATCACCCAAATTATAAGACACGATGGGAATAGGAACTAAAAGGACATTTTTTGGCTATTTAGAGGACTTTTTGTATAGTTCAATTGTTTATAACATTTTTAATATAACAGTTATACCGCACAGTTTCCAGAAATCTGTTATACAGCTAAAAATTGTTTTATTTGAGTATTCTGTTGGAAAATATGAAAAAATAAAACAAATAGAAGCAGTTCTCTTTAGTATAACAGTTTATTGTAACTGTTATACAGTAAGAAAAAACACTAATCGATGAAAATAAAAATTAAAACAGTAATAAAACAGCTTTTGAATAAAGTTTTCCATATGTATAACAGTTTTTTTTTTGACTGTTATACTATTACAAATTTCGAATTTTTCACGCAAAAAATATGAAATAATGGGAATAGCAACTAGAAGGACATTTTTGGCTATTTAGAGGACATTTTGTATCGCTTATAAAATTTTTTCTATAACTGTTATACCGCAAAGTTTCCAGAAATATGTTATACAGCTAAAATTTTTTTTTTTTTTTTGAATATTCTGTTGCAAAATATGGAAAAATTATACAATTCCAATCATTTTTTTCGTCAGTATAACAGTTTATTGTAACTGTTATACAACAAGAAAAAACGTCAATCAATAAAAATAAGTGCAGAAACGAATAAAACAGACTTTGGAATTCATTTTCCATATGTATAACAGCTCTTTATAACTGTTATACTATTAAAAACCTCTTAATTATCACACGAAAAAATAAAAAAATTATGGGAATAGGAATTAAAACAGTGTTTCCTTGGCTATTTAGAGGGATTTTTATATAGTTCAGTTCTTTATAACAGTTTTTTATAACTGTTATACCATATAGATTCTTGGAGACTTCTATATAACTCAAAAATTTATTCATTTGCATTATCAGGAGGAAAATATGGAAAAATAATATAATTTGAGGCAATTTTTCGTGAGTATAACAGTTTGTGACAACTGTTATACAACAAGGAAAAACGCTAATCCACATTAAATGAATGCACCGAAGACATAGCCAAGCTTTTAGATACATTTTTTCGTGTGTATAACAGGTTTTTATAACTGTTATACTATTAAAAATCTTGCATTTATCACGCAAAACAAAAAATATAAAAGGATTAGGGACTACAAGAGTATTTTTCTTGTCAACAATAAGGCAATTTTCGAGAACTTGGTGTAGAGCTGACACGGCTGGCTTCATAGATCTTAAAACCAACCTTCAGTTGTGGGAATGCCAAAAAATAAACATTTAAACAGTTCCGGTGATACCACCTCTTTTTCGAGAAAATTTTCATTTCGATTTTTTTATTTCAATTTCTTGCTTCTAAATTTCCCATAGGACCTCAAAGAAAACCAGAAATTTATGATTATGACTTACCACTGCAACTGGATCCTCCGTGCATTGTTGATCCGATGCCGTTAATATCTGCGTCGCATTGCCAATATTATTCGCCGCCGATTCCAGGAACGCTGTAACATCACCCTGATCTTCATATGAATGGACATACTGAAAATAAGATAAGGCATTCAATTCGCTGTTGGCCGCTTCGCCTCTGAAGTCCAAAGCACCTACCGTATCAAGTGTTTGAGGAACAAAGTCATCGTCATTTGATACCGTTTGAATAATGCCTTCCATTAACTGATCATCGGTGGGCAAGCCCGAAATGGTGGAGTCACAAAGCGTGGTAGGGTGTTGGTTGTGAGCAGAAATGGTGTTAACCCCCTGTGGCGGCAGAGGTTTAATGAAAAGATTTACAGAATTTTGATTTCCGGCCTGCATGCTGATCTCAAATTGGCCATTGTTGCCACAGAGTATGGTATCGGGGCTGGTGGTGGAGGCTAGAGAGTTCGTGGTGGCCAAGATTTCCAATTCTTCATCATCTTCCTCTTCGAGAATGTTACCATGACTTGACGTCTCCACATGGTCCTTAAAGGGTGGTAGACTTTCGAAAATTTTGCCACACAGTCGACACACAAACGGTTCGATGTGTTTCTCCAGGAACTGCATTTTGGCATAGTGTTTAAAGGTGGGCACAAATTCCGTTTTCTCCACCTGGGCCCGGAGATAGCGAATCTTCTCCAAACGATAACATTTACGCAGTGACCGTATGCGTTTCTGCACGCCCGACGATGAGAGATAGATACCGTGATTTTTCAACTCCACACTGATACTTTGGAATGCCTTGTTGCGTTCCTTGACCTGACGCACCTTGTAGTAGCGTACATGCCACAGGATCAGATGTCGCTGATAGATATCCAAAATCTTGTCGTTTTGCTGTTCATAGACCTCACGACGTTTTTGCAGCGAACGATGTTGCTCCAAAAAGGATAATTCCTTGTAGTAGGGGAATTTAATGTTCTCCTCCCGATCGCCGTTACGTTGGATGCGTTCACGTTCCTTCAGATACCTTTGACATAGAGTGGAAATCCTTATCCTTACCTCGGTTATGTGGAATTTACGATCACAGAAGGCATTCCATCGTTCGGTTATGTACTCCCAAGACTGCCGACACAGATGCGGTTCACAAAACTCCGTGTGGCTTTGATCCCACAGTCGGGTTTGCTGCTTGTACAGTTCAATGAGTTTCATGACATGAATCTTGTTCAACTTTTCCCTTGGTTCATGGAACTCAAAATGTTCCTCTTCGGTTCTGGGCGAGGCGGGTGAGGGTGGTGAGGATTCAAAGAGGTTTTCGCCCGTCAATGTGGTTGAGGCCACCGAACGATCATCATCGTCGGGGAATTCATCACAATCCAGCAGGCTACAGGCCAGCGATTCCAAATGTTCCGACAGAGACTGGGGTGACATGTTACCGCCGTTCGACTCATCATAGATATTCAGGAGGTGATCGTTTAGCGGTACCGTAGGTTGTATGTCACACACCTCAACCGGGGTAAGAGATCGTCGATGCCTGTTATTGGTTTGCCGACGCAATTCTCGTGTCTTATTCGAAATGCTGGATATTGTGGAGGAAGCAGATGAAGCAGAAGATGAGGAGGACGAGTTGTGCTCCCTTGCAATTCTCTCACACTGCTTTACCAATTCGTGTATTTTCTGTGACTTTTCGGAGTTGGGAGAGCTGGCCGATGAGATCTCACTTTGGCTGGGTGTCAGGAAGTTGTAGGGTATTTGGGGACCTGCTGCGGCTGCTTCTTCTTCGACTTTGCCTCCTTGGTCCAAGTTGGTGTTAATTTGTAGTTCTTCAGTTGCTTTCTGGATCTTGGCGGATGGTGTTGATTTTTTACAGGCCCTGGAATAGGTCCTTCGGCGCTTGGGCTCATTTTCCGGTTCGGGGGAGCTGTTAATCTCCGGCTCCACCTCCGCTGTTGTTGCTGTTGTTTCCAAAAATTTCTGATAAGAACTAAGATATTTGCTGGGGGCTGGTTTTGCAACATTGCCAATGGTTTGGGAATTCCGTCGGCATTTTCGTTTGCGGGATGGCGCCCAACGTGCTGCCGTATTCGTTTCTTCTGGAATTGTTGGCAACGGCGGCGAGGAAATAGGAGTAGGGGCTTCTACTTTCTCTTCTAAAATGGAATCTTTGCAAGTTTCCAGAATAATCGGTATTGGAACTTCGACTTCATCTTCTTCTTCTGCTTCTTCCCGTTTAATTTGTTGTTTTTGTTTTAGATCTTGTTTGACCTGTTCTGGCTCTTTCTTAATTTCACCTGTTAATGTCTTTAATTCGGGTTTTCCAATACAACTTTCTTTCGGGCAATGGTGTTGGTGTTGTTGTTGTTCGTGTTGATGATCATGTTTATTTTTGTCCCAACAACAACAAAATGAAGAAGAACTTGATAGCGGATCTTTCTCTTTTTGGGCCATGACTTGTGAGGCTGCGTGCAAGATTTCCCCATCGCTGTTGCTGTTGTTGGTATTGGTGGTGGGGGTTTGGGGCTCTCCCGTTATTTTCAAAATAAACTCTCTTAATTCGCTCTCTACATTATATTCTCTTAAGGAATACTCTTCTTTCACAATGGATGGAGAAAAATCGGGTTTTCTCTCGAGAGTTTCACCACCACCAGCAGCAGCACAACTGCCGCTCTCCGTTGGGTATTGTTTTGATTTTCGATTTTGGAAGCTGTTGGTCTGCTGTTGAGTCTGAGGTGCTGCCGTTAAAACCGTTGTATTATTTGTTTTAACGTCTGTCACCACCAGTTCGGCCACTAATTGATCTTCTTCCCCACCTCTTGGTGTGATTGCCACTCCCCTCTGCTCTACGGCGGAATTTTCATTAATTTGACTTTCATGACTTTCTTCTTCATTGTGGTCTTCCACGATTTCTTGTTGTGGCGGATGCTGATGCTGATGATGTTGCTGCTGTTGTTGTTGTTGCTGTTGTTCCTCAGCCACCTCTTGTTCAATCAATACCTGTTCGAACGGCTCCAATAGCCGTTGATGATGTTCATCCTCATCATAAGCTGTGCCCAAGGTTGGTGCATTCGGCTCATCATGATCGTATTCACACAGACCACTGTCTTCATTGTTTTGATTTGTCAAAGCCAGGACATGGTATAAATCATTGTGTTCTTCATCGTAGTCCCCTTCCTCCTGCTCCTCCTCTCCAATTTCCTCACTCAGGCCAGAGGTATTCTCCTGTTCATCCCCATCATTGCTGTCAGCTTCCAGCTCCTCGCCATCAATGGTTAGCCTGCCCGTCCATTCGGTATGCCACGCCTCCATGTGCAGGGGAAACTCGGAGAGGGGACACAAAGGATGATCATCACATAGGCGACATTCGACGGCATAGAATTCACCCTCACAATGCCAGGTGAAAACCTCACCACAGCCCAGGTGATCGGGAAAATTACGTGAGTCCAAATTTTCGGCCAAATCACTGTCACAGGTGGCCAATGACGATGTTGGGGAATTGGGACAACGGCGATAACGGCCTGTGCTGTTGGCCGTAGTTGGAGCCAAGATCAAAGGTTGTTGCAGGGCCTTGGTTAAAATGGATTGGCCACTCTCAGTCTTGAGAGTGGATTTTCTGTTCATTTTCGCCGTTTTGTGTAGACCACTACTGTCCCGGGTGGGTAATATTTTTGTTGTTAGCATTTTGAACAAGTTTTGTTTTGCTGGCTTTTTTTGCTCTTTTGTTTTTTAGTTAAATTTTTTTAAACATTTTTTGTTGAAATTCCATTCGCGGAGCTGTAAAGAAAGCGGAACACACACAGTTTTATTAGTTTTTTTTGAGGCAACAACAAAAACAATTAAAAATAAAAATTTTATTTTTTTTAGTAAAATTCGTAACTTTTTCAGAAAATTTTATAAAATTAAAAATATATATATTTTTTAAATTTAATGTTTTGTTAAATTTTTAAAAATTTTTTCTATTTATTGTTTTGAATTGTTTTATTTTCATTTCATTTTAGTTTTTTTATTCAATTATTGAATTTTTTAAATATTTGATTTTTTCAATTATTTAAATTTGAGTTCAATTTTTTAGTTCTTTTGTATTTTTTTTATTTATATGTCGTATGTTTGTTACTTAATTTGTAGATTACCCTGAAGATAAAACTCAAAGAGCTTCGAAATATTGGAAAATAACATTTAATAATAATTAACAACCAAAATTTGACCTCGAGCTCAAACAATTGTTCTTATTACCAATCCAAAGGTCGAAAAACCAGAGAAAATATTTATATATTTAAATTATTATTTTTAATTTAATTTTGTAATTTTTTGAAATGTTTTTTTTTGTATTTATTTTTTTTTATAAAATTATTAATTGTTTTTAATATATTTGTTAAGTTTTTCAAATAAAATCATATTTTTGATATTTTTTAGGTTTTTTTGTAATATTTTTGTATTTAATTATTGTTTTATAATTGTATATTGGTCATATGTATTATTTTTATTTAATTTTATATTTTATTTTTCCTTATTTATTTTTAATCGTTTTTAATATTTGATTATTTTTTTTCAACCATTTCTATTTGGATTAAATTTTTTAATTTAAAAATAATTATTTTTAAAAATTATAAAAGTTTTGAAAATAATTATTTTTAATTTATTATTTTTTAATTTAATTTTTTAAAGTAATTTTTACTCTGTTTTTTAGTTGTCATAATCTGTCCTTATTTATTTTTTTTGAAAATGAAAATTAATTTTCTTTAAATTTTAGTATTTTTATTTAATTTTTAATTATTTACTCTTTTTGAAAATAATTTTTTTTCTTAAATTTTATTTTTTTTGGTAACATTTTTTAATTGTTTTTGGGTATTTTTTAGGTATTTAATTTATGTTTTTCATTACTGTTATTTACAAATTCATTTGTTTATCCATATAAAAATAATCAGTTTTTCTTATTTTAATTAAAAAATGTATTTTTAATAAAATATTTTTTCGGAAATGCAGCAACACCAATTATTTTTCTTAATTTTTTGTGTATTTTATTTAATTTTTTTTAGTCATTGTTTTTAATTTATTATTAAATTTTTTAATTATTGTTTTTTATTTATTTTTTTCATTACTTTTATTTAATAAAAAAATTTGATTTTTTTAAAGAAAAATATTTTTTTTTTGCGAATGCAGCAATATATTCTACAGCAATATATTCCTTCTTTAAATTTTGGTATATTTTAATTTTTTTTTTTTGTAATTTAAGAGAATTGTATTCAATTTACCATTATTCCATGTCTGTTGTTTATCCAAATAACAACAACATTTCTATTTGGGTTTAAATTTTGAAGTCCTTTCACAATTTTTTTACAAAAATATATATTTTTAATTAATTTTTTTTTTTAATTTGTAAACTTCCGAAAATAATTGTTATTAATTTTATACATTAAAAAGATTGAAAACAATGTATTTTTTTAATTTATATAACACCAAAATTAAGTTGTTAAATAAAAATTTAATAAAAAAATGATTTTTATTTAAATTTTTAGAATTTTTTATTTAATTTTATTTTTTTATTATTGTTTTCCTTTTTTCAATAAAAATTTAATTAAAAAAAAAATATTTTTATTTAAATTTTTAGAAGTTTTTATTTAATTTTTTTTAATTATTGTTTTAGTTTATTTTTTTCTTTTTGAGAATTATTTTTCTTTAAATTTTATTTTTTTTATTATACTTTTTAATTTTTTTAATTATTGGTTTTAAGTTAATTGCAGGTCCTCAATTTATTATTTTTTCCATTTCTGTTATTTACAAGTTTATGTTTTTATCCAAATAACAATAATCTGTTCTTTTTTTTTAATAATTTAATTTAAAAAAATATTTTTCTTTAAATTTTTAGAATTTCTTATTTAATTTTAGTTTTTTTTAATTATTGTTTTTTATTTTTTTCTTCTTTTTGAAAATTATTTTTCTTTAAATTTTATTTTATTTTTATTAATTTTTTTTAATTATTGGTTTTAATTTAATTGTTGGTTCTTAATTTACCATTTTTTTATTTCTGTTATTTTTTGTTATTTATTTCTTTTTTTTTTAATTTTTTTTTTTTTGAAAATAAAAATTATTTATTTATTATTTATAAAATGTATTTATTTTTCATTATAAAATGTTAGTATTTTTCATTTAATTCGTTATTTATTTATTGTTTTTTAATTTAATTGTATTGTATTTAATTAATTTATTATTTTTTCATTACTGTTATTAACAAGTTTATTTTTTTTAACCAAATACCAACAAATACACCCAGTGGCTGAACATCTACTAATCAAAACCAACTGCGATTTGATTTCATCAGTTAAAACTCATCATCGCCCTACAAAAAAAATATTTTCTTCTTCATTTCGAATTCACTTACTTTATGCAAATCGTTGTGACGAACGGGAAAAGGGTGCGAGCGAGGGGGGTATTATGGGCCTATCCTCCTCTAAGCACCCAAAAGTGTGAGATTCTTTTTTATTGTTATTATTTTTACAAATTAAACACAATTAAATAATAACCGTAACAACAAGAACAATAATAAATCACAAACACATACAACGTGAAAACGACCTCAAAAAATATATAACTATGAACAACGAAAGACGACGGACGTTTGGGCTTGTCAAATACACGTTACGAACGACAAGTTTTTTTTTTTGTTTTTTGGTCGTTGGTTTTGAACACACAAAACAAAAATTAATTTTCTTCTTTTTCACGTTTCTTGTTGTTGTGGTTTTTTTTTTATTTCTTAGGAAAATTTGTTTCTTTTTTTAATTTACGCCACACCGCAGTTTGCCGTAACGCTTTAAATTCAACTTTTGATGACGTCTTCACGGTAACGTTCAACTAACAACTAACTCTTGATGTATTTTGCACGGATCGAAACCATACACAACAAAAAAATGTTGTGATCGTCATGATCGTCGTCTCTGGAGGCTACCTATCTCACAAAGAGCAGCTTAAATAACCCACAAGAAGACGAAGACAATACCAAAAACAAAAAACAAAAATAAACAACAACACCACACATAACACAAGAACCAACTGAGGAGCCAAAGTGAGTACCAGCAACAGCGCTCACCAATATCTTACCGATACAAAAATAAAAAATAAACTAATCACAAACAACAACAAATCAAAATCCATGCAGTCAACAGAATTATTGAGGCCGCAGCAGCCAGCAGAAGATGTTGGCAGCAGCCCAACAACAAAACACAGTCACAACAAGAAGTTGAATGAACGTTAAACAAAACCCAGCAAATCTCCTCCACTGTTTCACACTCCAATATGTGGGTATTGTTGTTGTTATTGTTTCGATTGAACAGCCATTGAAAAAATTACATCAACACACACACATAGACTCAATGAAACAGGAGAAACCCCTCTGATGGGAATTAATTATGTTATGCATGCTGCTGAGTAAATGAGTGAAACACATTCTCAACTAGAAAGAGGGGAAAAGCAGAGTAATTAACAAAAAAAGAGAGCAAAAGGTGAGATGAGCCACACCGGCCAAAGGTGGTAATCAAATTTGATCAATAGAGTTCAAATAACTGCTCTTGCCAAAAGGAAGAGAAGAGAGAGAGCGCGTGCTTAAGGTACACTGAGAAAAAGAGAATGTAAAGGTAAATCGATTGATTTCAACAGAGAATAAAATAAAGACAACACAAAATATCAATGGCAGATCAACAGAGAAATAGAGATGCACTTTTGAGCTCTCAAAATGCAGGAGAGCAGAGTTGAATATTTGCCAAATAAATGAATTGATTATGCACTCACATAAAAAAGGAGAAAACAATTCATAACAAATGGAGCACATGCAATTATAGCAGGAAGGTTAGGTAAGTACAGGGGCTCAAGATGAAAACTAAACAGAAATTGCAAAAAATGTAGATAAAAAATAATAAAAATTGGATTCTTAAAAAATTATTTAAAAAGACCAATTCCATTGATTATTGAAAAAAATAGATACATAGAACAGTCCCACGTCCTGTGATCATTAAAACAAATCGATTAAATATCCAATTTTTTGGTTCTAGAAAAAGAATATTTAAAGAACATTCGGTTCTTAAAAATTTATCTAAAGACAAAAATAAAAAAAAAAATAAATAAAATAAAAATATATGGTCTTTAAACAATTAAAAAATTGACCTTTCTGATCTTTTATTAGAATAATTTTTGAAAACACTCATGCATATTCGTGTTGGGTGTCTAAGAAGATTTCAAAAAAAAAAAAAAAAAATAATAATAATATATAATAATATTTTTATCAGTGCTAGGTCAGGTGTGAAAGGGATCAAAATTTTGAATATTTTTAATCGAATTGAAGGCTTTGGACCGAATCCGTTTCAGGAGATTTGGAGTCGATGTAGGGGTGTCTATCCGCTCGTCTACCTATCTGGCTGATGTTGTGCACGATAACTCTCGAAGGTATCCGATCCGATTTGATTCAAACCTAATACGTCGTAACATTATTATGAAAATTATATCCAGTTCGGAATGGTACCTCAAACGACCAAAATTTTCACAGAAAATAATTTACCTCATAAGACAAGAAAGGATCATCCAATTTTGTGCAATCTTTGCAAATCTCAATATTATTATCAGGTCGGGTGCGAAAATGGACAGTATCGCCTCACAACATGAAGTACCTTCCCCACAAAGAGATCAAAATTTTGAATAATTATAAATCTCATAAAATGTAAAATAAGCCTCCAATGCACTTCAAATTTTACACATTCCAATTGCCAAACAAGCAAGCCAAACTCTGTTCTATTAATAGACACAGGCACGGTCGACGAAGGGGTTTTTGTTGTAACAGACAAAACAAACTTACATGGTTATGTTACTTCGTTCAGGTTGAACGAAAGCATAACAAAGTGGAGAAAGATGTAAATGTTTATAAGTGCGGTTGTAAGATTTAGAAGATTTTCCAAAAGAATTTTAGTTTTCTGTAATTCTTTTGTTCCTCTTCTATTGAGCTTATGATCTCGTCACTTGGGTAAAAAATGTTTTTTGTCATAGAAGTTATTTTTTTTTAAATAACTTCTGGGGAGAATATCCCAGACAAGAAACAAGGGAACTGATGAGGATTGGTGGCTCTTTCCGAAACCTAGGTATTCCCTGCCTTACCCCCTGGTAAACATTTCCATCGTTCTCCACTCATAAACAAACGTTGTTTTTATAAAAACAACAATAATGGGATTTCGCCTGACGATTTTGCAACAACAAAATACTATGGTATCCCAAACAAGCAAGCCAAACTCTGTTCAATCTTATAAAATTTGATAGAAGAGTTTGATTATTTTTAAATTTCGTACATCTCAATAGTTCTACCAACACAAGATCTGGTATGAAAATCGGGTAGAACGGACCACTACTTCTGGTACCTCCCCCACAGCGGCCCAATATTTTTGAATAACCTAGAAGCTCATAAAACGTGAAATAAGCATCCGATTCCTTTCAAACTCGACACATCCCAATATTTCTATCAATGCAAGATGAGGTGTGAAGATGGAGTATATCGGCTAACTCCACCAAGAACCTCCCCCAAAACGGGTCAATATTTTGAATAAGTATATCTCTCATAAAATGCCAAATATGTATCCGATTATCTTCAAATTTCACACATTGCAGTATTTTTACTAATGCAAGATCGGATGTAAATATGGAATATATCGACCCATTCTCTCTGATACCTCCCCCACAAAGGGATCAAAATTTTGAATAACAAAATTTTCATAAAATGCGAAATAAGCATTCGATTCTCTCCAAATTTCACAAATTGCAGTATTTTTACTAATGCAAGATCTGATGTAAATATGGAATATATCGGACCACTCCTTCTGGTACCTCCCTCACAACGCGTCTATATTTTTTGAGTAACCATGAAGCTCATAAAACGCAGAATAGGCATCCGATTCCTTTCAAACTCGACACATCCCAATATTTCATTCAATGCAAGATGAGGTGTGAAGATGGAGCATATCGGACCACTCCTTCTGGTACCTCCCCCACAACGGGTCAAAATGTTGAATAATTTTAGTTATCATAAAATGCGAAATAAGCATTCGATTCTCTTCAAATTTCACAAATCCCAATATTTCTACTAGCACAATATCTGCTGTGAAGATAGAGTATATCGGACCACCCCTTCCGGTACCTCCCCCACAACGGGTCAAAATTTTGAATAATTATAGCTCTCATAAAATGCGAAATAAGCATCCGATTCTCTTCAAATTTCACACATCCCAATATTTCTACTAACATAAGATTTGGTGTGAATATGGGATATATTGGCCCACTCTTTCTGATACCTCCCCCACAAAAGGTTGAAACACTGATTAACAGTTTTTCGCATCAAATTGGAAATAACTATTTTTTTTTTTTTTGTTATTGGAGTAACAAAATTTAGAATTTTTTAGAAAAATTTTCTGAGTATATAAAAATTTTACTGTGAGCCACTGTACAAACTGATCACAGGCACACGCACACACACTCATCACAGAGAAAACGACCACATAAACCCCCTTTTTTTGGACAAACACGATTTCTTTTCGTTTACATTTACACCTGCATGTTTGTGTTGTTGTTAATTTTCAGTTTTCCACAACAAAGACCTGCATAGTTTTTTTCGGATTTCAAATAACATTTTAATTTCTTTGTAAAAATAAATGTCATAACTGTTATAAACTAATCAACGCTCAAGTCGTTTATGCCCCTAAAACGTTGTCACCACAAGTCGTTCGTTGCCTCCTTATTCGGTGTCTCGCAGCCAAGTAATGAGGAAATATGGTTTGCACATAAACAACAACATCGTTAAAAATCCATTAAATACCAGATTTTTCTCAATTTTGTAATAAAACTAAGCGTTTCACTTGAATGGCTTTGAAACGAACAGGGCAGGATTGGGGAAGTGGGAAGGCTGTGAAAGGAGGGGGCCTGTAAGACAACAAAATAATGAAAAAATTACAACTATTTTTTTCAAGTGACCAATAAACGTGGATCTTTGGAAAAAAATAATTCTTTTTTCAACTGAAAGTGGATAATTTAAAATTTATTTTCAAGGACAGATGTATAATCTAAGTCAGTGCCAGTTTATTTAAATATATTTTTATTTGAGTTTGAATAATCAGAGCTTTTTGGGGAGGTTCCGAGGGAGTGGGCTAATATTGTTTATTTCCTATCTGCCTGATATAAATATCACAACGTGCCAGATTTGGTCGATATCGACTACTTTCTTCACGTTATATGAGATATTTAATCATTTTTGGCATATGTTTTGTGGGGGAGGTACCAGAAGGGGTTGGCCGATATCTACCATCTTCACACCAGATCTGGTATAAGTGGAAATGTTCGGTTGTGTGAAATTTGAAGAGAATTGGATGCTTCTGTCGCATTTTATGAGCGTTTTGATTATTCAAAATTTTAACCCCTTTGTGTGGGAGGTACCAGAAGGAGTGGTTCGATGTATTCCATCTTCACAACATAACTTGTGTTAGTAGAAATATTGCAATGTGTGAAATTTGAAGAGAATCGGATGCTCATTTCGCATTTTTTGAGCGTTTTGATTATTTGATAATTTTGACTCGTTGTGGGGGAGGTACTAGAAGGAGTGGACCTATATATCTCACCTTAACACTAGACCTTGTGTAAGTAAGTAAGGATGCTTATTTCAAATTTTATGAGAGTTTTAATTATTCAAAATTTTGACCCGTTGTGGGGGAGTTACCAGGAGGAGTGGTCCGATACATTCCATCTTCACACCAGATCTGGCGTAAGTAGAAATATTGAAATGTGTGAAATTTGAAGAGAATCGGATGCTTATCTCGCATTTTATGAGCGTTTTGGTTATTCAAAAATATAACCTCTTTGTGGGGGAGGTACCAGAAGGAGTGATCCGATGTATTCCATCTTCACAACATAACATGTGTTAGTGGAAACATTGCGATGTGTGAAATTTGAAGAGAATCGGATGCTTCTGTCGCATTTTATGAGCATTTTCGTTATTCAGAATTTTAACCTCTTTGTGGGGGAGGTACCAGAAGGAGGGGTCCGATACATCCCA